CTAAGAGAATGAATACCTGGCCCAAAAGAACCTGATGACGATGACGAGTGATGTGAAAAGCAAAAAGTTAAACCGTGTTCTATAAGTCGTAAATCCTAACATGAAAGAAAAAGCGTATGCAAATGCAGTACGTTTGAGTTCAAAATGAAAACGATGCACAGAGACTGTACGATAAAGCCTTTCAGCCAAGACCTCATTTGTAATTCCATCTCATCGTCAAGAACAAAAAAATCGCACAGGTACATTGGCAAGTGGAAATTCTGAGTTCCGGAACTGCAGAATGAGCTTGAGTTGTTGCTGAGCTCTTTACCGAAAAGGTTCCGACAAGTTTCGGCTCAATCTGCATAACAAAATTCCCTGCTGTATCAAAACATGATTGATTCATCAAAACTAAACCGTTTGCTATATAGTAACCTAAGGAGCCTGCCTAAGAGAGTGAATACATGGCCTAAACAGAACCTGATGACGATGATGAGTGATGTGAGAAATAAAACGTTGAACCATGTTCTATACCTAGTAAAACTGACCTAAGGAGCCTGCCTAAGAGAATGAATACATGGCCTCAAAAGAACCTGATGACGATGACGAGTGATGTGAGAAACAAAACGTTGAACCATGTTCTATACCTGGTAAAACAAACCTAAGGAGCCTGCCTAAGAGAATGAATACATGGCCTAAAAAGAACCTGATGACGATGACGAGTGAGGTGAAAATGCTATTGAGACTCCGACCAGACCAAAAAGCACTTGTATTGCACCCGCGGTGCTGGGAACTTCGACTTATGTCTGCTTTGTCCGAACTGGACGAAACTTCTGCCTTATGGCTTCTTCGCCTTATGGCTGCTTCGATTGGATTTTACAGTGTAAAATCTTGACTTCGTCATATGACGCTTGAAATGCACTCGAAGTGCATACGGCTTCGGAGATTCATACTCCACTCTGAATACGGGAAAATGCCCGCTCATGACTTTTTGATTGGTCGAAACCAACCGACGGTGCGACCAAGTTAGGTCAAACACCCAGGACACACTGTGGGGTAATGGCCAGTAAAAGGTGTGAATGATGTCATAGTCTTCGCCTGATTTCCTGAGTTGCCTGGCAGTAGAATTTCAGCGGACACAGATTCACGATCGAAGAAACAACGCACAGCTCATAAACAAGAACAGAAAGTTAACAGTTGAAACTATAGCAGGTACGTAGATCAGGCGTCCCTGATCTATATCCTTACCACATGTCACCCAGCTTCGTTGGCAGAGAAAGTGACATAGGTATCTCTGCCCCCCTGCTGTTGAGAAATGTACAAGCGCAATAAACAGAACTAAAACCGTTTGTTATAACGGTGTACACACACACATACACACATACATACATACATACATTACATTACATTACATTACATTACATTACATTACATTACATTACATACACACACAGACATACAGACATACAGACATACATACATACACACATACACACATACATGACTGACTGACATACATACATACATACATTACACTACACTACACTACACTAAACTACACTACACTACACTACATACATACATACATACACAGACATACAGACATACAGACAGACATACAGACATACATTACATTACATTACATTACATTACCTTACATACATACACACACAGAGACATACAAACAGACATACATACATACATACATCCTTACATTACATTACATTGCATTACATTACATTGCATTACATTACATTGCATTACATTACATTACATACATTACATACATTACATACATTACATACATTACATACATTACATACATTACATACATTACATACATACATACATACATACATACATTCATACATACATTCATACATACATACATACATACATACACACACAGACGTACAGACATACAGACATACAGGCAGACATACAGACAGACATACAGACATACATACATTACATTACATTACATTACATACATTACATACAATACATTCATTACATACACGTACATTACATACATTACATACATACATACATACATACATACATACATACATGCATCCATGCATGCATGCATGCATGCAGACAAACAGACAGACAGGTAATTAGATAGATAGATAGATAGATAGATAGATAGATAGATGTGTAAATGTATTTATACGTGCTTAAAGAAAAATTATTTATAAACATATTCATGTACAGGTCCATTTTTGACCATATAATATATATATATATATATTTTATAAATAGAGAGAGAGAGAGATGTATATATATATATATGTATCTGTCTCTCTCTCTCTCTCTCTTGGGGTTATATGGGGTTGGAAAACTGATATCACATAATATTTGTAGCTACCAGTAGTACCGCACAAGGCGGTGGCGGAAGTTTCAAAAATAGGAAACCTATAGGAGAGATTGGTTGTTGTGATTCCGGGATGGCAGAGCGAAGCCACTGATGGACTGAAAGGTGCTTGATCTCTCTCTCTCTCTCTATCTTTTTTCGCGTTCTCTCTTTTTCTTTCTGTTCCTCTATTTTTCTCTGATTATCTACCTACCTACCTACTGATCTATCTGTCTATCTATCTGTTTATCTCTCTGTCTATCTATCTCCCTATCTATTTATCTGTCTAGCCACCTATCTATCTATCTATCTGTCTGTCTATCTATCTATCTATCTATTTATCTATCTATCCATCTATCTATCTATCTACGAGTATCTATCTATCTATCCATCTGTCTATCTATCTATCTCTCTCTCTCTCTCTCTTTCATCTGTCTATCTGTCTAACTGTCTACCTGTCTATCTGTCTATCTATCTATCTACCTATCTATCTATCTATCAATCTGTCTAGCCATCAATCTATCCATCTATCTATCTTTCTTTCTTATCTAATCTCATCTAATCTAATCTAATCTATCTATCTGTCTATCTATCTGTCTATGCACCTATCTATCTATCTATCGGTCGATCTATCTACTTATCCATCTATCTATCTATCTATCTACCTATCTATCTATCTATCTACATATCTATCTATCTATCTGTCTATCTCTCCGTCTATCTATCGATAAAACTGTCTCTCTATCTATTTGTCTATCTGTTTATCTGTCTGTCTATTTGTCTATGTATCTATCTACCTATCTATTTATATATATATATATATATCTGTCTATCTTGGTATCTAACTATCTGTCTATCTATCTATCTATCGATCTATGTATCTATCTATCTATCTATCTATCGATCTATCGATCTATCTATCTATCTATCTATCTATCTCTCTATCTCTCTCTATCTATCCATCTATCTATCCATCTATCTATCTATCTATCTATTTTATCTTATCTTATCTTATCTAATCTAATCTATGGATCTATCTTTCTTATCCAACCTAATCTAATCTAATCTAATCTAATCTAATCTAATCTAATTATCTATCTATCTATCTATCTATCTATCTATCTATCTATCTATCTATCTATCTATCTATCTATCTATCTATCTATCTATCTATCTATCTATATCTCTCTCTCTCTCTCTCGTTATCTCTCTGTCTGTCTGTCTGTCTATCAATCAATCTATCTGTCTATCTGTCTATCTGCAAGATCAAAAACGAAGAAATTCTGCGAGACTTCCGTAATGTTTGAACATAAGAACGTCCAAAACAGAACAATTCTGCGAGACGTCTTCATTTTTTGAACTTGACAACATCCGAAACAAAGCAATTCTGCGAGGCGTCCTCATTTTTCGAAGTGCAAGACATCAAAAACAAAGAATTCTGCGAGACCTCCTTCAAAAATGGAAAGTTGAGTGCAGAGCTGACAGACTCGTACCAATGCGTTTTGCGATTTTTCCAGTCCACCTGTCTAAAGTACTGCGCCTACCACGGAAAATTGATGCCAGGTCATACGAAGTGCTGCACCTGTCACGCAAAATCATCTTAGCAAACCTGCACATCTGATACTCCAAAATGCAACCCCTCTCAGGAAATCAGCGCCCTGACCTCCTAACATCTCTCATGAACATGTCTTTTGTACTGCGCCTGCCACGAAAATGCATCTTTGCAGATCCCCTTCAAATGTCCCATGCCTGCCATCATTCTTGGAAATGCCACAAAACCCTCACGTTTTGGTCACTTTTGACAAGGTGCACAATCCCGTGCGCCTGCCACGCGAAACGACATCTGAACCTCCAAAAATGGTCCGTACATGGTGTACGTTGTACATTTTGACTTGGAAATGGGCTTCGCGCCACAGCGGCGTGCACTTTTGCGACATCTCAACTTCCAAAAGTGGTCCGAAGCTGGTGTGTTTTGTACATTTTCACTTCGAAATGTGCTTCGCGCCACAACGGCGCGCACTTTTTCGACATCTCAAGGTCCGCACCTAGTGTGTTTTGTGCATTTCGACTTGGAAATGTGCTTCGCGCCACAACGGCATGCACTTTTTCAACATCTCAACTTCCAAAAGTGGTCCGAACGTGGTGTGTTTTGTACATTTTGGCTTCGAAATGTGCTTCGCGCCACAACGGCGTGCAATTTTTCATCTCCCCTCTGGCCAGCTGGCTCCGCACCCGCCGCTCTAGCGAGCGTACTTTTCGACCCTCCGGAGCCACAAATCATTGGAAAAACACAGTGAATCGCGACTTTCCTACCTTTTCGCGCATCTCCATCTTCTTTCTTCTTACTCTTTCTCTTCTACTCTTCTCTCTTCTGATCTTTCTCTTCTCTCTGCCTCTGCCCTGCTCTGCTTTTCATCTGTCCATATTGTCGGAAGTTTGGCTTCTAAACTTCCTTCGATGAGGAATCAATTTGTTCGACTGCAGCGGCTTGGAAGCAGGCATTATGACATTCTTCTTGACACCCAAACACCGTGAAACATTTGATGATATCTCAATCCAATGGTGGAACGCCACCTCTGGTGTTTGAGAGCATTCACAACTCGTTATCTACGGTGTTCCACAGACTTGCCGTGACTTCTCAGTCACTAATTGGTGTTCCACCCGCCTCAGCTGAACTTTCATTTGAACTTGGTGTGACTTCTCTCGCCTTTGTCGCAACCCAAACCCGGTGTAGCAGGAGCTTTTGATTTTTTGTCTGATTTGTTTTGACGCTATGTTACAATTATGTTTTTGACATGTCTTGACTGTATCATAGGTATATCATGATTTCTTGTTCGTCTTCACCTTTTGTTTTTCTTTCTTGGTCCAAGGGGAATGACAAACCGAAGGCAAGTAGAATCCAATAGATGCAAGATTATACAAGAGACTTAGGACATGAACGGAGATGGTGCATGCAGTGCATGACGCAAGAGTTACTTGATGTGATTTCAATTCCCCCCTATGCCAAGAAACCGAAGAAACCTTGGTTTTCTGCATGTGCTGAAAGAGGTCTGAGCACTTCCGAAATCGATCACGTGCGTGCCTGCAGCCAGGGCCGCCACATCCAGGAGTCAAATCTCTTGCCGTCACAGTTTCTTGTGTGCTCTACTGTTGTCTGTACCTCTTTGAAGCTGTTTAACTCTCTGTTATTTATCTTCCAACTAAAAGTTCCCAATAAGTTCGTCATAAATTCCTAAGGTCTACGTCGTTCAATTTTGGCAAGTGACAAGATGGCCGCCACACTGCGGTCTGAGCCCACTAACATCATGCCGCGTGCCTGACAGGAACAGGGACTACATGAGACAACATGGGACAACAACGCAAAACCATACGGCCATAGTAAGATTACTCATACGATTACTTCGCAAGACTAGTAAGGCCCAGCAAGGAATCCCGAGCTATTGAGCATGCTTCAGATGTATGAGGATGTTTGACCTCAAGATCAGATCCTCCAGGGGCTGTGTCCAACAACTGGTGGAACGGTCAAAACCGCTCACAAAGTGGACCTTCTCCTCTGCAGCTTCCAAAATGTTTTTGGCCTTACAAAGCGTGCAGCGTGTTGCACTGAACAATGCCATGCTTGTCATGCGTCTCTTCAACTTCTTGGCAATCAATCTTCAATACGCTTACTTGTCTGAAACATTGCAGCACATAGAAAGCACCCCTAGGACCATGTGTTCCTATTAAAAATGGGACTGTGCACATCGATCATGGTTTTTAACGGAGAAGCGGGTCAGCTACAGAGTCTTGAAAAATACCTTCGTTCTTCATCATCACCATCATCACCACCATCATCATCATCATCACCATCACTGTCACTATCGTCATCATCATCACCATCATCATCATCATCATCCTCATCCTCGTCATCACCATCACCATCATGATCACCATCATCATCATCATCATCATCATCATCCTCATCATCGTCATCATCATCATCGTCATCATCATCACCATCATGATCACCATCGTTATCATTATCATCATCATCATCACCATCATTATCACCATCACCATCATCATCATCACCATCATCATCATCACCATCATCATCATCATCACCATCATCATCATGATGATTATCATCAACCACCATTCACCACTCTCCACCACCATTAGCATTCATTAAGCATCATTTGAACATGTTGGATATACCACCACCATTCCCCACCTATTGCTGGGCATGTCCTATATATACACTAATTCTGCTTCCTCATGGCTTGCTGTAACCCCCATATGACATGTTTGAAACTGCCAACCTGGTAACCATGAAAAACACCAGCCATCTTGAACCGTCATCAACCTGCATGTGCGGAATGTATCATCATTAAATAAGTTCGCTATTCAACATCATTCAACAAAACACTAAGTCACTAAGAGCTCTTAAGACTGGTCTTGAGAGCTCTGCAGAATAAGCCCTCCACTTCTTGTGGCCTGTGTGGCCGGAGCCGCGCGCAGGGCATGTCTTCCACGTTGTGCAGGGGCAGCTGTGCAACCGTGGACCTCAAGAGGGACCAACACATCGGGAGAATCCGCGGGAATTCTGGCATTGAAATTCACAGGAAACCATCGGAAACCTTCACCAGGCTTTCCTGCACTGAAGATATTCCTTAAAACTGCCCGTGCGATCAATGATCTTCGAAAAGCGATGGGACAAGTAAAAATGTCATGCCCTGCAACTAAGCTGCAACACTTCTAGAAGCACCTGGCCACCTCATATGAAATATCACGTCTTGCCACTGTCTTGCTGACTCTTGCTGTTTCAAGTTTGCAACTGCTGTTCGTTTCCTCTCCCACATTAGAATCTCAACAAGTTGCCAGCTCCTAGGTGTGAAATTTCTCATCGCCTGTCTTCTGTGCATTTCGTTTGCAAACCGCTCTCTCTGAGGCCCGTGCTCCTGCAGAAAGGATCCCAAATGAGACTCGAATGAAAAGCTCGTTGTGGAATCTGGCACGGGCGCAATCGTGAAAGTAAATGAAAGTAAAGCATACTACTGCTATGTCCTATGTGATGACTTGGATCATTGGGCGGTTTCTCACGTGACAAAATATACACAGAATCTCAACATCTTGTTACACCCATACTGTCTCCATTTTCACATGCTCTCATTTTGAGTTGGGTTCAAGTTCGTTGAAACATGTCGAAGCCTGGCGACCTTGCAGTTTTTGAGGGCTGCGCCTGTGCCACCAAAGCAGCGACAAAAGTCCCATCCACGTCCTCTCAATCTGCATCAACTTTGCAGACGCGGTAGTAAAAGAAAACCCACGTCACAGAAAACTCATAAAACTGCGATTCATGGTGCGGTAGCCCGCTTCTGATTCTATGTGATCCCAGCACATACGATTCTAACCTAGGCCGCATATGCCAAGAACAGCTGCCACATGCTTCCCTGGATGATGGAAGATTTTAGATTATCCAAGCATCGCTCTCAATAATTAACTCTCAAAGTTTCAAGCACGACGATGACGTCTCAATTATATTCCTGCCTGAGATTTCTTAGGAAGTGGCGACGGAGAGATGGAAGGCGATGTGAAGGACCAGTTGAGCGATGGAGGAACCCGGCTGGCAACCTGGCTGGGCCAGCCGGGTACTTTTCCACCGCGTGCAGTCGAGGCAGTCGAGGGAGATGGTGCCGCTGGTGCCGATGGTGCCGGAACCTCTCACGGTTTTTCTGTGATTTCACATCTTCACATCTCTTCACATCTCTTCACATCTCTGACCCTGGCTGGGTAAATCACTTTAACTGCCTTGTCTTGGATTGTTGATGGATCATGACAACGGCTTTCCTGTCTACCATTCCAAGCCTGTGTGGTGAAACCTCTCACGGCCATTCCGCATTATTCCACACAATCAACGCACTATGCCCAACATCCAAGCAACGTGGGGAAGGCACAGTCTTCGCACTTCAAACATGCCCTATGCAGGGAACATATGAACCCAACTTGACCAAGACTAAGAATCATGAATTTCGACACCGACGGAATTTCCTAGTGTCAATTATTTGTGTTTACGTGGGTGGTGGTTTGGGTTGGTGGTTTGGAAGTCTGGGAATTGATGGTTTTGTGAAACTAGACCAAAATTACCAAACCCTGTAAAAATGAAATCGTGTGAAAATAAAAACAACACGTTTAAAACAACAATAATTGCTACCAGGGCAGTTTCGTTTTTGAATTTGTATTCATCTTGCATCTCGGAAAATATCCGTATATCCCATAATTTCACGTGATTGTTTACTAATGTTTACTATTACTGTTTGTATTAACACTCAAGATAAATATAAATTTTGGAAGGGCTCGAATTTTCCAGCGCAGAAACCAAAAGAAACATCAACAAAGACAAATGACCTAGTGAAAACGGCATCAAAATGCACAGATGCTATGATAGCTTTTGTGTGTGTTTCTTTACCATCAGTTTACGGTCAATTTACGATTGATTTGGGATCGATTTGCATCAAAGCATCTGATAGTTTCCATCTAGTTTCCACAAGAGTCTCAAACATGTTCCCTGTATCTACACCTGGTGGTTGTATGGCGTCTTCTTTGATGAAGTTTCCACGCAGGGTCCATGGAGAATTGATGTAGGTTTCATGTAGGTTCCATTGTTTCTTGTGTTTAAACATGGTGGTTGCATGGCGCCTTCTAACTGATGCAGTTATCATGGAGGTTCCATGCAGGTTCCAGGGAGTTGCCATGGAGGTTACACAACAGTAAGCTTAATCAGCAAAACCAGCATGTAGCCAACATGAAACCTGCATGGAAACTATACGGAAACTCCATGCAACCTGCATCAGTCAGAGTACAAGATAGGACCACACTGGAATTGGTTTCAAGAAACTGTTTTTGATTTTCCCCTGCCTTGTTTTCACGTAAATTAGATAGAATAGATAGATGAGGTAAATTAGACAGATGAGGTAGATTAGGTAGATCAGATAGATAAGGAAGACTAGATAGGCTAGGTAGATTAGATAGATTGGATAGATTAGTAGATGGACTTCGATTAGATTAGATAAATTAGATAGGTAGATAGATAGATAGATAGAGAGATAGATAGACAGACAGACAGATAGATAGACAAACAAATAGATAGATTGGACTGGATATATTAGATAGAGAAACAGGTCGACAGACAAACAAACAGATAGAAAGATAGATACAGAGACAGATACATAGAAAGATATATAGATTAGATAGATTGTATTAGATAAACAAAAAACAAACCCAAAACAAAACTAACTCCTTTTTTAAACCTATTTTGCACATAACTCTGATTTCCCAGACTTCCAAACCCACCAACCCAAACCGCCATATAAGTATAACCTGATAATGATCAGCACATCCAAATATTCACAGCTGATCAAAGAAAAATGAAACAGTCAGGCACATCAAATCTTATTGAGTTGTAACAGGTTTAAAATGCTTGCGACGCACTTACCGTTCCACAACGTTCCATATACGGATTCCATAGCGTTCCTTTTCGACCGATGCGGCACCTGTAACAAGTCCCGGTGCCCCAGCTGTGTGGCACACAGGAGCTCCAACGAACACTGGTTCCTCACAGCGAGAGGAAAGTTGGCCCGAACCCATGCCTGCCATGGCCAAAGACTACGGAAAGAAACCTGAAAGATATATGAAATTATCTAATTACATAAATATATAATTATAATAATTATACATACATGTCTTATATATATATAGTATTAGATACATATGTATGTAAATCCAGCCTGATGGTTTTATTATGTTTTATTGTGTTTCGTCCGAGATGAAAAATACAGCAGTTGCAAGCTTCAAACATCCCGACTTGATGGCATTTGGGCTGAATATTATGAAGTTTAAGTGGCAATTATATAAGCAGGGGTTTATGAATCCGAGTTTGACGTTGGTTCTAACCACCCAACTCTTAAAGTTGCACCAAAAAAACAGCTCTGGAAAAGTATGAGACATGGGAAGCCACCAACCATAGTATTGGGTGGGTTTTACTACCACGGGACCTATCAAACATGCCCGAATGAGATACACCCATGATACTTCATCATTGATCGCCTTTTCCTGACTGAGAGGGCCAGGGCCATGAACAGTGCTTTACCCATTTATTGTTTGACAAAACCCAGGATAACTTGTAATATCTCGTCATTCCAATAAACTTCAAAAAGGTTTCCTCAATGCCTTGGAGTGCCAAGTTAAACTTCAGGCCGAAACGCCGATGTAGCACAGCTCGGAGGGTCATCGGGGAAGGCGTGGTGGAGTTGTCAGCGGAGTCCCGCAGCAAACGCCGGAGAAGAGACCTGACATCTGCAGCTTCTAACCGCGACTCTCGCTCCCATGTCACAATGGGACCTCAAGCTGCCAAGAAATTGCACACAGCAAAGAAAACACTTCAAGAAAACGCTTCAAGACACAAAAAAAACATCACAAAGTGCTTGAAGCAGAAACCTTAAAAATGCGCCGAGGGGCCAAGCTGCTGCAGGTCCAAGAAGTCTTCCCATGGAGCTTCTTGCACTGCAGTCTCCAAATCACTGAGCTCGTTGCATTGAAAACAGGGCCCCACTCGAAGCCAAACACTTTGGACCAAAGAGCAACGCAGAATTCGGTAGAGATTGGACCAAGCTCCGTGGATTTCCACTGCGCCTTCTGCTTCCTTTCCCTCCGGCATCACTAAACCACCGCGGGGCACTGCTTCCTGGGCTTCAGTCAGGGGACTGACGGCATCACCGTCGAAGTCCTCGACTTTTTGGAGCTCTGCCAGGAGCAAAGGCTCCAGGCCCAATCGCGTCCGTGCCACGAAACACACGGAGCGGTCGCTCGACGTCGAAGTCGAAACCCAACGGACAAGGCCCAAACGCTGCTGAGCGACGCGGCTGTGGCTGAACACCTGCCGTGCACGGAGCGACACAATTGACACCTGCCGCATCCGCATCCATGGCGACAAGATGTTGCTGTTGGACGCTGCAGTGCGAAGATCATGTACGTATGTCAGCACATCTGCATATGTTTTCCGGACAAGTGGACGAAATAAAAAAATGGATGCACAACGCACAAGAAGGATTTTTGGGTTGAATAACTCACAAGGTCTGTATAAGATTTGAGCCAAGCATAGCTAAGCTGATCAGTTGGATAATTTGAATAACAGGCCAGACAAGTCCCATCATTCTCCACGTAGCTGTGCGAGGCATCGAGCTCGGGACGTTGGAGAAAACACCTCTCCCGCTCACAGTGTCTTGCACCTGGGTGTTTAACGCCAATCTGGTTCGTGCCTCACGACATAACATGCTATTGTTGCATGAGGATGAACAAATCGACGTTGAAACATGATCTGCCGATCGCAGGTCTAATAACCCTGTCAATCTGCTAGCATACCGACCTGTGAAACAAATTACACCACCGTAGGCCCCAAACAGTGGGCGGATTCAAGACGTGTTTTTGAGGAACAAGGTCAAACACATGACATGAGAAAGCATTAAGAACCTTTAACCGTACACTGTTTGGAAAAAAATGAAAATGAGACCACCCACCACAAAGGGAAACAAGAAGAGAGACAAGCTGGGAGACAAGATAGGAGACAAGACCATCCAACAGGCGGACACCTTAGGAAAGCCTTAAGAACCCTTAACAGTACACTTCACTGTTTGAAAAAAATGCAAAATCAGACCACCAACCCCAAAGGGAAACAAGAAGAAAGACAAGTTGGGAGACAAGCTGGGGGACAAGAAGGAAGACAAACTGGGAGACAAGGGAGACAAAACCTTGGGAAGGCGGACACACCATCCAACACAGGCACACGTGTGGGGAGACGATGGGAGATAAGCGGAGACAAGGCCCATTGAAGGCGGATATGATCCAAGGCGGAGACACCATCCAACACGGGCACCAATGTGGGGAGACAATGAGAGACAATGGGGAGACAAGACCTCGGAAGGCGGACACACCATCCAGCACAGGCGCACATGTGGTGGGACAATGGGAAACAATGGCACACAACCGGAGACAAGGGGAGACGGGGAGACAAGAAGGGAGACAATGGGAGACAATTGGGGGGACAATGGGAGACAAGTGGAGACAAGACCCCGGGGAGGCTGACAAACCACACAACACAGGCGCACATGTGAGGAGACAATGGGAGACAAGCCGAGACAAGACATCGGGAAGGCAGACACACCATCCAACAAAGGAAAACAAGAAGGGAGATGGGAGACAAGGCAGAAGGGGAGACAAGACCGCGGGAAGGCGGACACACCATCCAAGGCGGAGGCACCAACACAGGCACACATCTCTAGGGAGACAATGAAAAACAAGACTTCGAGAAGGCGGACCATCCAACACAGGCACACATGTGGGGAGACAATGAGAGACCACATGGAGACAATGGGAAACAATTGGAGACAACCGGAGACAGGGATAGACAAGAAGGGAGACAATGGGAGACAAAAAGGGGAGACAAGACGGCAGGAAGGCGGACGCACCATCCAACACAGGCACACATGTGGGGAGACAATGGGAGACAATGGTAGGCAAGACCTCGGGAGGGACGACACACCATCCAACAACAGGCACAGGTGTGTGGGGAGACAATGGGACAATGGGTTTAATGGGAGACAAGGGGGGACAAGACCTTGGGAAGGCGGACACACCAACACAGGCAGACAAGACAAGACCCCATCCAACACAGGCACACATGCGGGGAGACAATGGGAGACAATGGGGGGCAATGGGAGACAAGACGTCAGGAAGGCGGACGCACCATCCAACACAGGCACACATGTGGGGAGACAATGGGAAACATTGGGAGACAAGGGAGATACAAGACATCGAGAAGGTAAACACATCATCCAACACAGGCACACATGTGGGGAGACAACGGGAGACAAGTGAGACAAGGTCCCGGGAACGCGGACACACCAACCAACAAAAAGGAAACACGAAGGGAGACATTGAGTGGGAGACAAAGGGAGACAAGACCAAGGCGAACACCTTAAGAATGCGTTAGGGACCCGTAGTAGCGCAGCACACTGTCTGGAGGACAGGGAGATAATGTGGAGAGAAGGGGGGACAAGATGCTCGGGAAGGCGGACACACCATCCAACAAAGGTAAAGAAGAAGGGGTACAATGGGAGACAAAGGGAGACAAGACCCCCGGAAAGGCGGACTCAATCCAACAAAGGGAAACAAGAAGGGGTGAAAAAGGGGGACACCCTGGGGAAGGCGGACACACTATCCAACACAGGGAAACCAGAAGGGGTACAATGGGAGACAAGGGGAGACAAGACCCTCGAAAAGGCGGACACACCATCCAACAAGTGGAAACAAGAAGGGGCCCGGGGTACAATCGCAGAGACGGGGAGACAAGATCCTCGGAAAGGCGGACACACCATCCAACAAAGGCAAACAAGAACGGGTACAATGGGGGACCAAGGGAGACATGACCCGCGGCAAGGCGGACACACCATCCAACAAAGAAAAACAAGAAGGGGCACAAGGGGAGACAAGGGGAGACAAGGGCCGACAAGGCGAAACAAGAAGGGGCACAATGGGAGACAAAGGGAGACCAGACCCTCGGGAAGGTGGACACACCATCCGAGAAAAGGAAACAAAAGGGGTACAATGGGAGACAAGCGGAGACAAAACCCTCGAGAAGGCGGACACACCATCCAACAGAGGGAAACAAGAAGGGGTACATTGGGGACACACCATCCAACAAAGGGAAACGAGAAGGATGCCATTGCAGACAAGCGGAGACAAGACCCTCAGAAATGCGGACACATCATCCAACAAGGGAAACAAGAAGGGGCACAATGGGAGAGAATGGGGAACAATGGGAGACAAGGGGAGGTAAAACCCTCCGGACGGGACGGCGGACACACCATCCAACACCAAGGCGGACACCTTAAGAAAGCATTAAGAAACCCGAACAGTACACTGCTTGGGGAACAAGAAGGGGTACAAGGGGAGACAAGGGGAGACAAGGGGAGACAAGGGGAGACAAAAGGGGAGACAACGGGAGACAAGACCCTCGGGAAGGCGAACACACCATCCAACAAATGGAAACAAGAAGGGAGACAAGAAGGGAGACAAGGGGAGACAAGACCCTCGGGAAGGCGGACACATACCCACAGGGAGACAAAGGGACCCAAGGGGAGACAGGGGGACACAAGGGGAGGCAAATCCAACACCAAGGCGGACACCTTAAGAAAGCATTAAGAACCGCTAACAGCACACTGTTTGGGGAAACATGTTTTTCATGCATTCGATTGGTTGCAGGTTGCAAGACAAGAGTTCCAATTATTGGCCTGCAAACGGATCAAGCATCATCAAGCATCAAGCATCGCAAATGGCCGTAGTATGCCGTAGTCTTTGGGCAGTTAAACCATAGTCGATGTCGAAATTGGTGGAGAGGTTTGCTCAGGTTTCTCTGGTTCTTAGCTCCCAGCCAGGTAGCGGCTCTCCAACAACTCGCCCACCTTTGGATCTTTGACAATAAAGGCAGGTGACCACTAGTTACCCGTGTTTAAACGGTTTTACTTGATAAGACGAGACGCCGCCCACACTTATCAAAATAATCAAACTACGTCAAGGTAACTGCACTGGTAAGCGTTTATTCTTTGAACAGTTCCCGAAAAAACGTTGACTTGCTTGACGTGCTTGACCTGCAGCTGCGCCGGATCTTTCCCCCGGAATCAGAGCAAAGGAAGACAACACAGCGGTGCCTTTGACACCCTGAGCCGTGTCCTGCACTCCGATTTAAGGAGCGTCGAACAGCCTGGGCAAATATAGGCCAAGTGTTGTTCAGCCGCCAAGCCGCCCAGCCGCCAAGCCGCGTAAAAATGGTGAAACGTCTTTTCTGTGCCATGTCCGTATGTGTCCCCCGTATATTTGTGTTTTTATTCGTTGATCTATGTGTTTATTTCATTGTTTGGTCGCATATTTTCCATTTGCATGTACCAATGTATCACATAATCATAACATACCATGATTTTTTTAATGCAATTATTATGTCATATGTACTCTTGGAATCATGTACGAATATGCACAAGCAATACGAATATAGGATATCAACCAATAGTCTAGTGACATAAATTTGTTTATCTAATCCACTGAAACCCTTTCTCATCACATCTGTGCGCCTTCTGCTCACTTTCCAATCCTCTCACCGCCCTTCCGCGGCTTCGGAGGAGACTTTGGGGCCTTGGGCATCAGCACTTCCTGAGACAACAAGGGGCATCAACGAGAGACGGCGACGGCCGAAGAAACCGGATGGTCAGTTGGATGGCCAATAGGCGGGAGAAATCCCATGAAAATCACTGATATGGAGAGATATCCGGCACCAAAATGAATGACTTGATCAAAAGGTGACACATAGGAATGTATCACAAAGCGCGGTCTGGGCTTACGATTGATTGACATCCACGTGTCCATCATGTCCGTACACTTAGTACCCGGGCAAGCCGGGGGTGGAAGTTTCAAATTTGAAACGCTTATAACTTATAGTCCATAGAGCGGAGCAAAGGCTGTGCCTATAGGTGACCGGCAAGCCTCCTGTGCTTCGTGGCAACAGGCTCTTGACTTGCCAATCTGATGCCATGTCTTTTGAATGTTGAATCTTTTCTCATTTCATCTGGTCTCATCGCATCGCAGCTTCTCTTGGAAATTCCTCACTGCATCCCACTGTCACCGCAGTTTGTGTCATCCCATCTCATCTCAACACATCTCATGTCTTCTCAGCTTTTTTCACTGCATCTCTCATCCCATCTCATGTCGTCTCTCCCATCCTCAGCTCTTCTCAGGTGATCACGACCGCTCTCTTCTCTTCTCATGTCATTTGAGGTTTTCTCATCTCTTCTCATCTCATCTCAGCTGGGCTTATCTCAGCTTTTCAGATTTTCACAGCTCTTCTCAACTCTTCTCAGCTCTCCGCAGCTCATGCAAGCTCATCTTATGTGTTCTCATCTCTTCTCTCCTCTTCTCACATCTTCTGAGCTCTTCTCACGCCTACTCAGCTGATCTCAGCTCTTGTTAGCTCGTCTCACCTCATCTCAGCTCTTCTCAACGTTCTCAAATCATCTCACCTTGTCTCTGGCCCAAAACCTGCTCCAAAAACGGATCTCGGCGCCAAAGCAAGCAACCCCTACGCTTTCCACAGAGAAGATTTGACACAGAGAAGCTTTTACACACAGCAAGCTCTTACACAGAGAAGCTTATACATGCAGAAGCTTTTACACAGAGTCAGGGAAGCTTTTATTCACAGCAAGCACGCCAAAGCAAAAAAAGAGACGAAGGAAAATCACCAGCGCCAAAGTTTAAAATATCTGCTGACAAACCATTATCGCAGCCTTGATGCAGCCACTCCAATACGATTCAAGATGTCCAGCTGCAAGACTTCCTTCAAAAAGTGAAAGGTGAAGATGTGAAAACGAAGCTTTTGTGCGAGACTTCCCTCAAAAAGTGAAAGGTGAAGATGTGAAAACGACGCTTTCGTGCGAGACGTCCCTCAAAAAGTGCAAGTGGAAGATGTGAAAACGACGCTTTCGTGCGAGGAGCCCCTGAAAAAGTGAAAGTAGAAGATGTGAAAACGACGCTTTCGTGCGAGGAGTCCCTGAAAAAGTGAAAGTGGAAGATGTGAAAACGACGCTTTTGTGCGAGACGTCCCTCCAAAAGTGAAAGTGGAAGATGTGAAAACGAAGCTTTTGTGCGAGACGTCCGTCAAAATCCAAAAGCTGAAGATGTGAACACGAAGCTTTTGGTGATGTTGTGATAGTGGTCATGTTGTGATAGCGGTGATATTGTGATAATGGTGATATGGTGATAATGGCGATATTGTGATAGTGGTGATATGGCGATAGCGGTGATATTGTGATAGTGGTGATGTTGTGATAACAGTGATATGGTGATAGTGGTATGTAGTGGTGATGTTGTGATAGTGGTGATGTTGAGATAGTGGTAGTTGTGACTTGTAAAAATCCGCTACACGGAAGTTAGACCTTGAAACTTCCTTTGACAATCCATACAAGCCTACTTTGCAAATCCCCTTCCTCAACATCTTGCAGCTCGCTGCATATCCAAGCAGCTCCTTTCCGGGAACTTGGGTCTCTCTCGTCCCGCTCTCGCGCCACCTCCGCTTCTGCCAACAAGGTTGTGTCATGTCCTACATCCGGCTGAGCAAGCCCAGTATGAAAACCTACCCCACCAAACTCTCTAAGCACAATGCTTTGACGGGGCTCTTGCTCTCGCTCGCCACACGTATCCGAACCTGCAGCAGTCGGCAGGCATTTTCCTGCCAAGTACTTCGACATTTTTCAGGCGGGTTCCTTCCAAAGATAATGAGGCGATGGCCATGGTGAGGATGATGATGGTGATGGTGATGGTGGTGATGATGATGATGATGATGATGATGGTGACAATGACAATGACAATGACAATGGCAATGGCAATGGCAATGACAATGACAATGGCAATGACAATGACAATGACAAGCAACAATCGCTAATTTGACACATAGAACCGCACAAGGCGAAAGTTCCACAATAGGAAACCTATAGGAGAGGTGGGTTGAGCGAACCCACTGATGGACTGAAAGGGTGATTGAGACTCTGGGTCTCTCTCTCTCTCTCCCTCTCTCCCTCACCCTCCTCTCTCCATCCTCGTATCTATCTCCTGATGTGGAAGGTCGCCGGCTTGATCCTACCGTCGCCTCTAGAGTTCCGGCGTCCACCGGCTTGTCCCAAACCTACCGGACGCATTTCGTCCGGGACGGGCTCGCCAAGGCTAAATCAAATCGCAAGTTTCAGTTTTTGAGGATCGACACGGGTTTCGTGCGGAAGGGGGGCGTGTTATCCGCACCGCCGCCCAACAAGTAGAATATTGACAAATTGGACCTGCGAGGTGTATTGTAGAAGATCTATGCACCTGGAACTTTGCACCTGCATATATACAGTTGCAGATGTGCAGATGTTTTCGCCAACATCTATATACCTTCTGAACATCTGCACATATCTATGTATATATATATATTTATTTATTTATTTAATTTACGCTTGAAAGATTCATAGGTATTTTCACCTACATCTACAGACCTGCATCTAAACATCTGCACATATAAAGTTGTAGATGTGCAGGTGGTGATGATGATGATGATGATGAGGATGATGAGGATGATGAGGATGAGGATGAGGATGATGATGATGATGATGATGATGGTGATGGTGATGGTGATGGTGATGGTGATGGTGATGGTGATGGTGATGATGGTGATGGTGATGATGGTGATGATGGTGATGATGGTGATGGCAATGATCAAGAAGATGCTGATGATTAAAATGATGATTGGCAGCCGCTTTTTGGAAGGAAACCTTCGCAGGATCTTCTGGGAAAAAATGAATATAGGGGTAGTCAATCATAGTCCGCGTTTTGGTCCTTGATACATTGTATGTCCCTGTGTTGTTCCAGCTATGGCTTCTGCATCCAAGAAGCATTGAGAGGGCCTGACTTCGTGCCACTGGATGTTCGGATTTCGTTGGAACATCCTCACTGCACTTTCAAAACAGGATGGGAGATATGAGGAGGCTTTTGAACAAACAAACAGTCCTACCGTCGGTGTCCCATTTTTTCTGTTGCCTCTGAAATCTGATATTCGATCTTTTCTTGGTTTGGTGTTCTTCTGAAAGGAAAAAACTATGGTAGCACTGTTTGGTTTTCTTCTAAATGAAATACTCGTCTGCCATTCGGCCCACTTCATTTGTTTTCCAATTTTCTTCCATTGCTTCATCCGAGTCACGCAGCAGGAGCTCTTTCTTCACAACTGTTGCTTGGGAGAATTTTTCCTCCTCTGACTGACTAGGGCTGGCACACCTGAGCCATTGTCACTAATTTTCCGCAAACGGACTGGAATGGCTGACCGGTGGACTGTGTTCAGGACATCTAAGACGTAAAATGGTGTAAGAAGGCTCGGCCAAAGAAATTGATGCTTTCCGCGATGGCCTTTTGTGGTCCCAGGCACACTTCAACGACGATCGGAAGGCGCGGATGCTTCTCCAAAACCAACGCCACTTGGTCCAAAACTTCCAAGGCGTTTTGCTGCAGTTTCATCCCGTCCTTGGCAAAACAAAACAGATTCGTCTTATGTTCATGTGACATCAAACCTGGTTTTTAAAAAACACAAATTATGAGAAAAAACCCTAAAGACAAATCAGTCCAACACTCAAAACCATCAAGCGTGTCTCACACAGTCCCAAAAACAGCCCAGGCACGTCAGGTACGTCCATGAAACCGATTGGTTTCCTTAAAACGACAGGGCGCGGCATCCCTGTAACCGGTGTTAAAGAACTGAAACGGCTTGACAAGCAACAGGCACGCGATGTCATGAATATAATGTGCTTGCACGGAAAAAATATGCTGTGCAAATATAGTATGTCTACCTATATCTATCTCTATCTCTATCCATCTTGTGTCTATCTATCGATCTATCTGTGATCTGTGGGTGTGGGAGAGAGAGAGAGAGAGAGAGAGAGCGAGGGAGAGAGAGAGAGAGAGAGGGAATGTATATGCATGCATGTAGATACATCATTTCACACACACACACATGCACGCACGCAGACAAATATGTATGCATACATGTGCACATAGTGAATATGCATATATATATAAATACATATCTGTGTGGGTGTCTGGGTGCACGCGCGCATCCCTAATAACGCACCTACGCATGTTTTACAGGTTGCCTGAAAGCGGACGGACAAGTTGAAACGACTTTGACGGGTTTTTGAAATTGCAACCTTGCAAGACAAAGTAGACCCTTTTGGGCCAGGGTGGGATCCTCGCAGACTCGCCTTTCGCGGATTTCTCGGCTAAAAAAAAGATAAGTTTAAACTCATGTTTCATGAGAGGATGACTTGCGTGATCTTGCTGGTGTTTTGCTTCCAATACTAAAAAACCCATCCTACCTGAAACAAAGTCCCAAAATGATTGTTCAATGGTTGCCGCAACAGTTTCACGAGCGCAAGCGAAGCATGAATACTATCATGAATCATATACATCTAGTACTATAATGTACTATATAGGCTTATTTATATAGACCTTTTGCCCAACCATTCGCCGCGCTATCATGGCCTTTGGCGACCATGGCCTTTGGCGACTGCAGTAAGACACAAGTCCATACTAGTAGCTGTCACTCGGGCACTGAAAAACTTACTTGGGTTTAAGAACGGCCACCATATAATTGCCAATTGCGGTATGCTCGACATCACCATGCTAATCCGCTCAGATGAGTTGAAATACCACGACATGTGTATATCATGGGATATCTAAAAATGTATGAGTTGCCATGAGTTATTCCATGGTATTTTCCTTGATGGTTCTACATTTGGGTGCAATTTTTTGGGGGGAATTGTTTTTGTTTTTTGTTTTTTTTTTCCAGTCTGGGGCACTTTTCCTTGCAATTTGCTACACTTTATTTTGTAGGAAAAACCTGTACTTTGCTGAATTTTGGAGCTAAAACTTGCCATTTGCACTGCTCATCGATTTTTCCATGGTTTTATTCGATTTTTCCATGGTGTTCATTGATTTCCCCAAAGCGCTCATCGATTTTCCATAGTTTTCATTAAGTTTTCCATGTTTACAATTGATTTTTCCATGGTTTCAATGGATTTTTCCTTGCGTAACATGCACCTGGTGACATGTAGAATATAGGTTGAAGCACAACCCCGTTGGGTTTGAATAGTGGCATTGGGTGCTACCATAGTGTTGGTGGGTTTCGGGTTTATTTAGGGTTGGTTTAGGGTTTATTTAGGGTGGGTTATGCCGGGTTAGTTTAGGGTTTCTCTAGGTTGGTTCAAAGGGTTGGTTTAGGGTCTAGTTAAAGTCCGTTGAGGGTTGGATTAAGGTACATGTAGGGATACAAGGTGTGTGTGTGTATAAAGATAGTATATAGGTAGGTAGGTGGGTAGGTAGATAGATAGATAGATGGATGGATGGATGGATGGATGGATGGATAGATAGATAGATAATTAGATCGATTAGATCGATTAGATCCATTAGATCCATTAGATCCATTAGATCCATTAGATCGATTAGATCGATTAGATCGATTAGATCGATTAGATCGATTAGATCGATTAGATCGATTAGATCGATTAGATCGATTAGATCGATTAGATCGATTAGATCGGTTATATCGGTTAGATCGATTAGATCGGTTAGATCGATTAGATCGATTAGATCGATTAGATCGGATTAGATCGGTTAGATCGGTTAGATCGATTAGATCGGTTAGATCGGTTAGATCGATTAGATCGGTTAGATCAATTAGATCGATTAGATCGATTAGATCGGATTAGATCGATTAGATTGATTAGATTAGATAGAAAGATACTTCAGGTAGATTAGAAAGATACTTTAGATAGATTAGATAGATACTTCAGGTAGATACTTTAGATATATAGATTAGGTAGATAAGAAAAGATAAAATTAGATAAAATCAGATAAGATTAGATAAGACTAGATAAGATTAGATAAGATTAGATTAGATTAGATAAGATTAGGTTAGATTAGATAGATAGATAGAAAGATAGATAAATAGATAGATAGGCAAAGCATGGTAAAGCCACAAAAGCCACACCCACAAAAGCCACAATGAAAAACAAAACAAAAACAAAAAACAAACCAAAAAAAAATAGCCTTCCTCTACATGTTTGTGCGCGTTGTGTTCGCCATATCTCTGCCTTGGCACATCGCCATGTCCAACTCCTCCTGACACTGCGACAGCTGCCGCCGCAGCTCGGGAAGTTGGGCCTCCAGCTCTGCGATGTCGGCACCTTGGCCGTGCCGCCGATGGCCGTGCCGATGGCCGTTGGGGTGAATGGGATATAGAATCTCGGACAGAATCTCGGATGGAGGGTAAAGCAAGATAGACAGTCGACATTCCTTGAAAACACAAAATCAGAATGTCACGATGAGGCCTGCTGAGTTGACACGCGTGGACATATGAGAACAAGGCGAAACGGCAGAAGAAACTGAGAGCATACTTTAGATGTGAAGATGGAAAGAAATGTGGAAAGCTGAGCCAAAAAAAAACTAAGCAAGGAACAATTCAGGAAATGTGGGAAAAAAAAACTGCAAACGACCCGAGAAATGCATGGGCTAAACAAGTCCAAGTTTGGCCAAATTGCCATTGTAGCCCTTCTCGGCCCACAGCTTCAAACTTCTTTCCAAGGATACCTTAAAAATACAGCAAGCACCAAGCGAAGAAACTGAACTGAAGGTAATTAGTGTTTGACACAAGCAGCTGGCACAGCGTTTCACAGCACACTTCCTGGCGCCAAAGCTGCGAGTTGGAGGGAAGCAGCGAACCTCGGTTGTCGCTCAGCAGTGGTGCCCATATCTGAAAAACAGCTGAACATGATGACACAAAGCGCTGCCAACCAGTATCAACAAAATCTGCTCTGATCAACTGTCTACGCATGCAAGTAAACTACCAGCACGACTATACATGTATATCATGTATGTATATACATGTTACATATATGTATATATACACATATCGTTACATATCCATCTCCGTATGACTTGTGCCAAGGCGCTCTTTGATCCTCGATCGAAGCTCCTCAGCTTCAAGGACTTCCGCTGCTTCGCTGAGAAGTTCTTGGTCAACCCCAGCAGCAAGTGCTTCTCGGTACGCGTCCTTCAACAAGAGGCCGGATGGACATCTAGAATCTAAAAGTAACCTAAGTATATCCCAATAGTACCGCACAAGGCAGTGGCGGAAGTCTCAAAAATAGGAAACCTACAGGAGAACTTGGTTTTGGTGATTCATGGGTGGCAGAGCGAACTGGTGGACCGAAAGGTGGTTGAGGCTCTTTCTCTCTCTCTCTCTCGCTCTCTTTCTCTCTACCTCCCTGACTACCTTCCCTACTTCCCTACTTCCCTACTTTCCTACCTACCCGCCTACCTACCTACCTACCTACCTAGCTACCTAGCTAGCTAGCTAGCTACCTACCTACCTACCTACTCATCTATCTACCTATCTACCTATCTACCTATCTACCTATCTACCTATCTACCTATCTACCTATCTACCTATCTACCTATCTACCTACCTGTCTACCTACCTACCTAACTATCTATTTGTCTGTCTGCCTGTCTATCTATCCATTGATCTATCCATCCATCCATCCATCCATCCATCCATCTATCTATCTAATCTATCCAATCTATCCAATCTATCTAATCTATCTAATCTATCTAATCTATCTAATCTAGCTAATCTAGCTAATCTATCTAATCTATCTAATCTATCTAATCTGTCTGTCTGTCTGTCTGTCTATCTATCTATCTATCTATCTGACTGAAACGAAGCAATTCTGCGAGGCTTCCTCAAAAAAAATAGGTTCGCACAGCTGTAAACCATCAGATGGCAGCACGCATCTCTTTTTCGACACGTCAAAGCCCAAGGCCCGAGTTGAGCCAGTAATTACGCCACTTGCAGAACACATCTGCTGAAAGTTGATCTTCACTGATGCCAGCCAATCACATACATATCACACATGCACTAGAGTACCGATTACCTTCAGAACCTTTTCACGCCTAAATGATCCAAATATATCCAAATTATCCAAGTCATCTCTCTGAAACTTTGTGGTCTGTTCTTATCGTGTCCTTCAGCTCGCTCGGACATGCCAGCGCAGCTTCCAAGCGAACCTGGAACCAACGAGTGCGGGAAGCCAACACACGGCATGTTCCGAAAACCCAAAGCGGAAGAAAATCCTCCAGATTTCGGTGGTGCAGTTTGACCATGTTTGACCTTGACCTTGACATCTGGGGCCCATTCCTGTGCCCTCGATATCCGTAGCTTCTCTTCTGCGCCCTCCAAGCTGGAATCACCTCAAACCGCGACTTGGCATGACATGCTGCTGGTGCTACTTGCAGTGGGATGCCATGTCGACTCTCTTAGGAGGTGACGCACCCCGCTTCGTTTCGCTTCTTCAATCCGTGTTGGCAGCTCATCCCTGCGGTCAGAGGCTTTCAGGCTTTCAAGGGATCTGTGAAAACTCTTGGCATCAAAAAAGCGCCCACAGGGCGAAAAAGGGCATGAAAACTGAGTTGCACCTTGCATCACTTGTCTGCTGAGGCAGTCACAGAATTATAGAGTGCCGATCGGTGCTCATCGCTTCCTGATCCAGCGTGAAAACGGAGCTGCAATCACTCATTCAAAACGCGCAGATCTGCCCATGGACAGAGGAGCCTGCTAAAGACTGCTAAAGATCAATATTTGGTAAGAGATGGTAAGAGGATTTAACAGGGGCACCTTCACTCGCTCGGAGGCCTGCTGTTGCCTCAACTGACTTGCGCTTCTGCTGCCCAACTCATCCAAATCCCAACGCGTGCAGTCAGATCTCGACAATTCTTAGCACCGGACTTTTCCAGTCTTTCCAGGTGGTGTCTCAACCTACGCTGAAAAACTGCATGAGATTCAATTACAGGAGCTTTAGGATGGTAAAATTTGACTTTATGACTTCGCTCTTCACCTTTGACCATCTTACATTGCTGAATTAGAACGCCAAAAATCTTTTGATTTCAGTTCGCCAAAGGTCTGAAGATCTTCTGCCCAAACCTATCCTGAGCAGGTTGCATTAGACTTCAGATGTGTAGCCATTTCCCTGCCCCCTTGACCGCGGAAGCTGAGAACCACCAGAGGGATGAGAGTTAGCTGTGCTCTCGGAATGCGGCTGATTGCGTTGCGAGGATAGATTTTGCCCTGGAAAAGAGATTCATTGCCATTGCTGAGGCAGTTTGGCTTCCACCTTAAGTATGGGGGCGGGGCTATGGTACCAGATTTGGAGGGATGAACATCCGTACACTCCGTAGACTTCATGTGACACGACCACCTCGTAAGGTACACCGTCAGCAAGGGGCTTTGGTGTGCCACCAAGCCAGTGGCCGACACACGGCGCAAGACTTCCTGATGGCTATGGCGGCTATCGCATTGCTCAAAATTGATGTATCAATGGCAGGACCAATGAGCCTCCACAAAAAAAATAATCGTTGTATATTGTTTTTTTGAAACTCTGAGATTCTTTGGCTGGCTTTGAGAATCCTGGGAATGAAATGTATTTAACAAAAACTCGCGTCATAAGAGGAATCCTGGAATTTCGAGCCAGTTAAAAACCACAAGAATTTGGCAACGTTTTCCGTGAGCACCAGTGTCGGATGCCGGAGTATTGATAGCAAAGAATGAAATCAAATGAAATCAAATCGTGAAATGGATGTGCCAACAAAAAAAAATAGGTGTTTTGTAATGACAAATCTCCATATCACGATGCTCGTAGTGTTTCTAGTGGGAGTGGCGGCTAGTAGTTGGCCTCAGCAGTACTCAACAGCCAGGAGTCTCTGATTTGTGTCACATCGGTCTCTTTCAACGCATCCGAGAGCACGTAGAATATCACTTGGAGCTTCTCCAGCTTGTCATAGGTTTCCAACCTGTAGGCAACCCGGCAATACATCAGTTGCTCCAGCTTTCCCGCACTGCGTCCTCCCATGAAGCCACAACAAATCAATCCAGCAATGGACCTTTGCACGCATCTGGGCACATCATGATAGACATCATTATTCATGACGCAACGTACATCATGAAAGAAAATACATTGCACAGCATACTCTGTCATAGCATTCAGAAATTCAGTTCGTTTTATGTGAGGTCATTTCATTCTGTCGGACCCTCTCTCTCTCCAGGGCCATCAGCAAAGTCCCTGTGGACTCCTTGGTAGTTTTTGGTAAGAGACCCCACTGGTACATACCCATCTTGCATACTCGTTCGCCTTCTTGAATGAGCTACAATTGAGTGCGACCTGTTGGGCCTATGTTGGGCCTGTGTTGGTGTTGGGCCAAGAGTGGCGTGCACAATCGAACTAGAAGGTTTCCGCCCAATGCTTTCCGCCAAATGCTTTGGATACAACGGGCCCAGGGCCGCACTTTGCTCAGTTTAAGCCCATGTTGAGGGTATGTTGGGCCCTATGTTGAGCCCATGTTGGGCCAAGAATCAAGGTCCAAAAGAACACACCTTTTCGGGGCCATGTTGGGCCTGTGTGGGGCCTATGTTGGACCTATGTTGAGCTATGTTGAGCTATGTTGGCCCATGTGTTGGGCTCCTGCTGTTCCAAGAAAGGGGGGCTCGTTTGAACCTTGATTTAAGAGTCTCAATGAACCCACAGTTTTGGGATCATGTTGGGGCCATGTTGTGTATATGTTGAGCTTTGCTGGGCGTATATTGGAAGGCAAAGTACGAAGGATTAGGGTCTCGTAGCGAATTAGTTATCTTTTTCCTTACTTGACAGCATGCCTCTTTTCCACGCCACATGTATACTCCATGCCTTAACGGAATACTGGCAATTGTCATCCATATCATCCATATCTATTGTTTCTTTGGCTTTTCAAGTCAGCCTTGCCTTTCACATGCCGTACCTTCGACTTTAGGCCCTTTCAATGTTTCATATTCCACCCTGACCTTTTAAGTAACTTAGTACCGCCAGTTTGCCTTGGCTTCTCTATCTGAGATGCAAACTATGTAAAAGCCTCTGCGGAAAGAAAAGAAAAAACATCCCGGTAGAACATCTGCGGCGTGCAGATGCAGATCTTTGTCCAAAAATGGCGACCCCAAATCCCATGGTTGATAATCTTCTCGTGGTAAACTGATAATATTTGCCCATTTTCACCCCCAGTCAAGCCGCAATGTTCGGTGATTTTCCATCCGTTTTGAAGATATCTGAAGATATCGGAAGCACTCAGCTGAGCTCATGACGCGCTCTCCAACTGGACTTTGCTCAAGCCCATAGACTTGGCTGATTTGATGGCAAACTTCATGTCCTCTGGGCCAGACCTGACTCAGCAGCTGTTTCCATTCACCCAGGATAAATTCAAGCTGCAGCAGTCGTCCTGGGAAAAAACGCGCGTTATATAGTATATATATATATTAAAAAAAATAAAAAGATTATAAAATCCAAAGATCTCGATCCAGGTCGTCCTACTTCAGCCCAAGTCCACCTAAAATCTATCCGTTTCAGCATCGCTGCCACCCCAGATAACAGGGGACAAACTTGTGGAATTTGTCAAAAATGGCAGCCTTGGTAAAACCACCACTTTCCCCACATTGTGACCACCGTTTACCTATCCCGTGGTAAACCCCGACAATCAACCATACCAAATTAGTTTGCAATTAAAATCAGAAACCACATCATCCGCATCCAAGAAAAGGCAATCCCTCTCTCTCTCTCTAATTTCCTATCCTGACTATCTCCAAATTTTACCATAGCTTGGAGCAACCCCAACCCTTCCAGGACCCTTCAGAGCTCCCGGCACACAGGACGCCAGCGTGCCGGCGCGCGCTCTCAAAGAGGCTGTGATCAGCATCCACTTGGCAGCAGCTTCGCCCTCCATGGCGGCCAGTCCTCGAAGCTTTCAACAAAAACACGGAAAAACCTATGGCAAAACTCTGGCATAACATGGAAATAAACAGAGCGACATGACGACTAGAATAGGAAAGAGTGTGCAGCGGCATGTCAAAATTGACACAAAGAATCCAAGTAAAGTAAGAATCACAGGGTCCCAGTCAACCAGAAAAGGGTAAAATATGGTAAAATATTGTAAAGATTTGCAGAGGTGTACAGCAAACGCATGTAAATACCCCATGGATGCGAGTTTCGTTTTTCCGCTGAAGCGATGAGGTTGCTGTCCACAAGGCATTGCTTGGACTCTTGCAGCAGTTCTCGAAGTTTGCCACTGGATTTCACCTCTCTCGGAGCAGTTCCAGCTTTCAGGGGACTCAAACAACTTCCTAGGCGCACTTGCGCCTTAGCCCCTAGGCAGCTGCAGCAAGTAACCGTAAGCAACCTGATGAACCAAGATTTAAGGAACAACTATATAGTGTGTGTGTAATGGCATGACAACAATGCGGTTTTCCCAAAACCTGACAGATCAAAGATGATTTTGCGAAGCCACGCACTTTGCAGAAGTACTGTCCAAGGCTTCTGACAGTCTCCTTAGCTGCTTCCAGCACATTTGCACCTGGCTAACCTCTTTCCATGGAAAAACCTCTGTAGTATACCAAATATGTATATTTATATGTTTATGCATTTCTTTGTGTATTGTGTATCTATTCATTTGTTTATACCTACCACATAGCACCACGATAGCTCCTTTCTGCCCCATCTGCATAATTTCTCCCACTTCTTTTTCACAAAACATCTGCACGGCGTACAGTGAAATGGCTTCGCCTTATAGCCTCACCGCAGGAGTGAACTAAAAGGTAGGCACACGATACATAGTAACATCATAGTAACATAGTGCTTCAGTGCTTCAAATTACGGGGCCACAATTAGGATAACAATTGGGATGACAATTGGGATGACAAAAGGCTTCAAATGAAAATGAGAATGAGTGCGAATGAGGATGGACATTGTGATCACGAAGAGGAGGTTGATGTGACAACAAAGACAGCTGCAACAGCCATATGGCATGGCTGCAAGATAGCAAGCAGGATGATCTGGCTGTTTCTGCCCAAAACACTATTTGTTGTTACAGTAATATCTCTGAATGGCAAATCAGGATGATTGCGGGTGCTACAAGATTCCGATGCTCAGAACAGGAATGAGATCATGATTTGGTTCCGTCGCAAGATTGATAGCTCAACCTCACTATCGTGGAGCCATATTTTCACATCTTGCTCACGGCTCACCACAGTACTTGATATTGTTGTTGCTGCTTGTCATGCGGAGATTTTTTGGGTATCGATGATGAAGCTAAAGATGATCGTGAAGATGAATCACATCAACACAATACTTTAAAACACATGCGTAAAAACGTACATTACACAACCTTTGTCTCATCTTATCTAACTTTCCCAAATCCAAGGAACATCTTTGACACCGAGACTCGCTTCTGCGGAACTGCGACGTTCTTCGGCGTCCAAAGCACTTCGGCCCTGCTGCAGCAGTCCATCGAAAGCTTCCACGTCAAAGCGACTCGGCTCCTGCATTGGCATTCGCATGGCATTCGCATGGCGCGCCATATCTCTAGAGATCGTCCTGTGGAAGTCACCAGGTTCAATGAATGTCATGCAGCATGCTTTGAGCAAGAATATACGACATATACGCATATAATTCATTATAAATTGTACATATGTAATACATCTGTGTATATATAGATATACTATGTGCGTGTGTATGTCAATGTGTGTCCGTGTCAGTGTGTACTGTATACATCGTTTGGTCAGGTTTGCTCACAGCGGGTTGGCACAACGTGGCACAAGCGAAATGTGAGGATCACGGCCTCGCCAGCCGGAAGCTTCGGCCTCGCACCGGCCAATCATTTTTGCTATTTGGGGGCAACATGGGGCAACATGGGGCAACATTAAAGATCACAAAACCATATTCAGAAAAAGGATGGAGATGCATTCTATGATGATAGTTATGTGATAATTCATACCATATTATACCACATTAGTTTGACATAGTTTGACTTTTGAGCAGAGTCACGGAGTCGAAGGAAGTTCAACTCCGCCTTCGTCCTTGCAATCTCTGCCTGAAGAGAAAGACCGTTGCTGTGCTGCGCATCTGGAGTTTTCCGCAAGTGTCCCTTCGTATCGATGCAGCCAAGTTGCTTGGGCCTTTTGACTCAGACGAACCGAAGCCTTTCACCATGCTGTCCTTTACCTCATGCTTCAGCTTTCGCATCTGCCAGTCACTAACAATTACGTTGTCCATCGGTGTCCTTTTGCACTTTGTTATCTTTCCTCTAAGTGCACTTGATTTCTTTTGGGTTTGCTCTTTTCTACTCCCTTAGCTTTTGATTCGCATCTCATAATTACAGCCGTCTCGTTCTGAGAGCTGCAGTGCCGACATGAGCGCCTTGGGTCAGCAATAGGACAATAAAGACCGTAATGACAATAAATATGAATGGATAATCAGTTTTCTATCATGTTCTATACGATATACACGATACATAATAGTATACAGTATACATGTAATGCAAAGTATGGTGACCCAGCGCGGTGGCAGTGTCCAAGTTTGCCCAGATGCGACCTGGCCCTCTGACAAAGCTAAACGCAAAGCAGAGACGTTTTGGCCACGCATAGCTTCTTCGATCTTTGTCTGCACCAGCCTAAGCCGGTGCACCCAAGTGGCCCAAGTGGCCCAAGTGGCAGGGTAATGTGGTTGATGAGTTGACGTGCATCGAGGTCAGCTGCGTCCAAAAGACTCCATCCGAAGCAGATTCTGCACTGAGACTGACACCGGACCCACTTCTTGCACAAAACCTAGCGACGCGGTGTGTGATTCACAGAATAACCCACACATGGGCCTCAAAATCTAATGGCTTATCGGCTTATCATCATTTACCATTTGAAAATGAAATGTGCAACGTGCATCCTCCATTGTGAGACAAACACCAAAACGGGCTACGCCTCAATGGCTTCTCGCAGTCGGGATTCTTCCATCTTCTGAGCTGCTTTGGCGCAAAGAAGACACGCTTCTTCGCCTTGTGGACATAGCCGCTGCCCATCAAATCCATCAAGTCAAGGATGTGCTGAATACAAAGTGAAGGATGTGCTGAATACAAATGAGACGCCAACATCATCTCACCATGCAGAAAATCCATGTAACATATTTCACAGTATGATACCACAGTCATGGCAGATTTCAAGGTTTTACATTTTTACATGGTTTCACAATTTCTCCATCCGTGAGGTCAGCCTTCTTTCACGGCTTGTTCCACGAAGGTCATCCGCTTGTTGGGTTCCTTGGGACAGCGTGCTGCTCGTTTTAAAAAGACATGGGAAGATTTTTTAATGGATCAACTTGGATCAACATCTCAATGCAAGCCCACAGACTGCAACACGCTCTGAATCTCAAAGAACCTCTACCGACTCTGCCGCCTCTACCCTTCAAATTGTCCATCCGAAATTGCAATGCCAATTGCAATGCCAATTGCAATGCCAATTGCAATGCCAATTGCAATGCCAAAGTCTGTCAAGTCTCAACGCTTTTGTCCAACGCATCCCAGGCATCTGCCAGACGATTCCGGGCGCGCTGTTGTGCAAACACCGCATTCCGCACGGCCAAACCTCAGATACCGCACGACTGACGAACTGCCGGGGATTAATCGGATTGAATCATTGGGATGCGCAAACAACACACTTCCATATAAGGAGACTAAATGAGACACACCAAAATATGTCAAAGTAAGTCAGTGTCAAAGCATGTGACTTTGGAGGTCTGTCCATAGTGTGGTTGCTTTATTCTGATTCGGGATGCCTCCATCAGCCATCTGTTCAAAAAATATCCCGAGGGGATTAAGAGTGATTAAGAAAATATGAATCCTTCAAACCTGGTGTTGTTCCTTGGTTTCTCCAGACCCGGATTTGTTTAAACTGTTTAAAGCACGTTAAAGCTATTTCTTTAAACAGACATATTCCATTTCTTCAAATTTCTTCCATTTCTTCCACTTCCCGATTTGTGACGTGGCGCGGCGCCGGTGCTGCCGCATCTTCTCCTGGGCCTCTGAAAGCCTCGGTCGAACGTCGACGTCGACATCGTGGTGATCGATATGTCATTGGGATGTAACTGAGACACATATCTCAAATGCAACTGGGATGCTTACAATGTTCCATGTCATAATTCAATGTAATTCATCATATATCTTAGACATTTCTTTTTACATCTTGATATGGATGGGAACTCAACCAATGAATTCGGGATGTTGATAGGACCTTGATGCGATAAACTCCCCATTTAAACGATATCTCGGTATATCATGGTATATCACCACTGATGCACATCACAGAAGGATTGAAGATTATTTCAAAATATGAATAAATATGAGGGTAAAAACTGACAAGACTGAGGGGGCCCAATCAATCGACCAATGCATCTCTTTGGAATTCATGGAATGCTTTCTTTCTGCCATGTCAACCACGATCTGTGCTCACTATCTAACACATATCACATATCCGATTTTGTCCATCAGCTGTGTTGGAGATTAATGGGTAGGACATTCTGTGACCTCCCAGCTGATCTTCAACCAGGTGCCAAGCATGATGCCAAGTATGATCAACTTGGTAACATCTTGTTCCAAAAAAAAAGTGCGTTGTCTGGTTCTTGGTCATTCTATGTCACTCTGTGTTGCTCTGTGTTACTCTGATCCATGTTTTCCTCATGTTTCCCTCATGTTTGCCTCATGGGTGTACCGGGTGTGCTGCCAAAATCAGCCAAATCACTCGTGCTGCGGAACACCTGCGTCTGCTGCCTCTTTGATGGAGGATTCCAGCTCCTCAGCACATGTCATGACTGTCATTCCACTCCTCAGCACATTCCACTCCTGCTCCTCTTGTGGTAGCTAGAGAGACCCTGCACTGTGGCCCAATTTCCTAGAATTTCCAAGATGATAAAATATAACTTATATAACCACATTGGCTAATCATTGGCTAATCATTCTGCCTTTCACGTCAACTTCAGCCGTTTCTCGTCAGCCGAGCGTCAGTGAGTTTGTTCTTCTTAACGGCTGCTTCGACCCGAGCTTTGGCCATGTTGGCCTCAACTGAGCACCTCAGACCGTCACGTTTTCAGCGGCAAAAGGACAGCGACAAGACAAGAAAACACTATATATGTGTTGTATGAAATATATGGCATAAACTAAGGATAGCAAGTTTCTATAGTTCTAGCAACTCGATATATGGCATCTATGTCATCTATGTCATCTATGTCATCTGTGTCTTTATCTATCTGTAGGTCCAGCTGCCCCTCATTAACCAAACATGTGTCTCAAACATTCTCAAAATATGGTTTGCTATTGTTGCATTTTTGGTCTTCTCTTTAGAATTCTCAAGTGCTTGCTGCGCTTGCCCTATTCAATTGATTTCCAGCTATTTCCACAAGGTCCAAATTTCAAGCCGTACCCTGAGCCCTTTGGCCCCAGTTCTTTCATTGCGTTTCTCTCTGACCTCTCTGTTCCTGTCTGTATCCTGTCCAGGATGACATGTCCGAGGTGCGGATTGAGCAGGGACTTGGGTGTGCCAATGCGCTCTTTCGGCCTAGGCTGAGAGGGGAACTGCCTTCAAACGAATGAGACCGTGCTTGTGTCACTTACGTCTGCGAAGCCAGGAGAGGCAAAATGTGGGTAGACTAAAAAGCCTCACCGTGAGGACTTTCGACACAAATAGATGGAGATACAAATAGGTACAGATAGATACAAATCAAGATATAACATGATATGACATGATAACATTTAAAACATTATGATCATGATACAATTTGCCGTTGAAGAAATTGGGTTTCCCGGCCGAACATTCCAAGTGTTGCCTGGCACCCCAGGCTCTGCATCACGGTCGCGAGACCGGCTCGGCTGCGAGGCGGCTCGTTTGGTCCTTAAGTCTTCAGATTTCTTCTTCTTCTTCATCATCATCAGCATCATCATCATCAGCATCATCAGCATCATTCCGATCTGTGACAAGTGGCTTTCAGGCTGGCAGCTCTGTACTTTCCCAGCTGCCCAGCCGAAAATAAATATGCAATATGTACAACTGTTGAAATTAGAAGGTGGAGGAAAAGGGAAAATCTGTGTTACAGAAACAGCCAAGAACCATCGAGAACCCATGAAAGACTGATGAAACATGGTGAAGCAGTACTGAAGCATCGTGAAACTCCATGACTTGGGACATCGAAGACTGCAACAAGCTGCGAGCGCGGAGTTGCGACGGGATGTTTCGGCCCAAAGCCTGCGAAGTCTGCGAAGCGCCCAGAAATGCCCAGAATGAAATCTGGTCACCATCAAGCTGGACAATTTGAACTCATCTGGAAATGAAACCAGATCGGATCATTTGGATCAAATTAAAAAGAATAGTCGAACAACAGTGAAGAGATGTGAAGAGTCAAGAGCAAAGCAAAATCTGCTTTTGAGGGTCCGATTGACCGGCATATGAGGCATATGTCATTGTTTCGATGTTCCCATTCTCAGCTGTATTTTGTCTGCGCCTCGCTGCCGCAGGACCTCCCCCATGTGCTCCGAGCGCCGAACCTGAACCGTGGGCCATGCCATGCAGAAATCAACTTTCCAAACCCAAAAAACGTGTAAAATGCGTTAAATACGTGAGCACAAAGTGAAATCAATGTGAACTCAGTTGAAGTCTTGAGAATCCTTTTGGAGTTCCCTTTCTGAAGAAATTCGAACTCGAAAAAAGTCTTCAAAATCAAATGCCCACGAGCCAAGCCATACACGCTATGACAACACTTTGATGCACCTGATTGTAAAGATTGTAAAGGGAAGTCCTCTCTATATCTGTAACTCTGTAACCCTTTCACACCTCGAAGTCAACCTTCGCGCCGCTGGCATCCCAGCCTCAGCAAGCACATACTAATCGCCACTAATCGCCCTCTTAAATGGGATCCAAAATGTCGCCGAAAAGATATTCTGCTTTCTCTGTTGTGTTAACTAATGGAGGAATTCGAGATGATTCGAGACAATGTCAAAAAACTTGAGTCCCAATGTAACGAAAGCTAAGCCGGGGAAAGGTGGCGAGAGGTGGAGTGAGAGAGGTGGAGTATGGTGGAGTGATATATTTAGGCTTTCGTGGAGTGCCTTGGTGGAATAAGTTGGGTGGTGGCATGGGTTGGGTGGTCTGGGTTGTGGGTTCGGGCTGGGGGGAGGTGGGGGGATTGAGCTCCTGCTCTGCTTCCAAGATGTGATGGGGGGAGAAGCCTAAGTTGCATAGTTTAGCAGAGCATGTGAATGTGCGGCTTAGGTCAGGGATAGCTAAGTGATATAGCTCGTAATTGTGCGACTTATGTAGTAATACCACCACATTATAGCTTAAGAAGGTATTGGTCATTTAAAGAATGAAAGACGCCAAGGATGTAATAGCTCAAGAAGACAGTGCAGTGTATGCGCGGATGTGGAGCTGGCTGGATTATGTTAAGGAATGGATTGCCAAAGATCATCTATGATTTTTATTGATTTTTGGTGTCGGATGAGAGCGACTACCTCAAGACTATGTAAGAATGAGATGAAAACTTACGGAATGTCATGGAACTTCGCGTGTGTATTGTCTCAATGACTAGCAGCTCGAGGTCTGTAATGCTTGCATACTGAGGGGGGAAATCGAATGAAAACCAAAATTCAAGAATGAGTTGGGGTTTATGCAGTTTTTGAGCCGGGTGTACGGACTGACCTGCTGTCGCGAGTGATTGCTGGTGCTGTAGCATGTTAGATACTCTCATGAAACACGATTTCAATTGATTGATGATATAATTGTGTGAGATGCATGATGGTTGAGTGGAGCTATATAATATTATATAATACGCCGAGGGGTATTGGCCTAAAGGGGGGGGGTCGTGTGGCCTAAGCTTTCGTGAGTCGACTGAGTCGACTGAGTCGGTGACTGGTGTTCTTCCTTGACTTGGCCGCTTGTAAGGCGTGCTCGGGCTGACAGAAATGTACCTCGGAAACTTTCGGCGGCATCGTGCATGACAAATCTTAACGTGACACCACGTTCCTTGCTCCAGCCAAGTTTCCAATGCATACGGTTTGTCCTTGGAGGTAAACTCTTGTGTTCAAGCAAGCATAGCATAAGCCAACTACGACTTTGACAAGAGACGTTTTTTTCGAAATCAATGATGGCATCAGTGTCATCACTAATTGCCACATTGTTTTCAAGCTGGAATGTGCCCAAGGTTCCCCGTCAAGCACTCCTGTGCAAAACATATAACCTGAGAGGCCAGTGGCAGAAATGGCGAAACCAAGCCCCCTATGCCAGAAGACACAAAAGAGAAATAATCATGACACATGGAAGGATACACTTGCACAATCTTGCATGAAGCTTAAATCATCACAACAAGAACTATCAACAAGCGGCCCAGAAAGTCCAAGTAGTTCACAACATCACCTGAAACACCTGAACCTTCCACCCGAACTGCGGTCAGTGCATCAGTAAGAGAACCAGCTTTTTCGTCGTGTCGGAGGGTAGCGGATAGCAGAACTGAAAGGGAAAGAAGGACGGGCAGACGCACAAAAAATGAACGATCTAACGCTGCAACACATTCAATACATTCAGCTGAAGTAGCCCGGACAGCCACTGAAAAGGATGTGCAATTCCCGGCTCGTAGCATCCACTGGGATACCGCAAACAGCAAGACAAGCCTCCCATTTCACGACAGCAGCGCTTGGAAAAGTGATTGACGAAAAAGCGCAAAAGGACTCCAAGTCACGAGTCTATGACGTCTATGAGTCTATGAGTGGGTTCTTTCGTCATGTCTTCAGCATTTCTTCAGCCATCTTCAGCCATTTCAACCCGGTGTTTCCACTTTCTCGATGTATCTCGGTGTCCTTTCAAGTCTTTTCTGGCCATTGCAGCACCTCGGCGACCAGTGGGGCTTTCACAGTGCCTGCGGTGCCAACGGTGCCCGGGGTGTCCGCAGTGCCCGAGCCGCTTTTTGGCGCCGGTTTACCTGGCATTGGTCATGTCGGAAGCAAAGAAAGGAGGGCATCAAATTTTGGAGAAAATAAGTAAATAACAAATATATATATATATATATATCATTTATGTGTTTTCCTTGTATCTCATGTTCATATCTTCTTCTGTCGTAGTCTTTTTGTGTCTCGTGAAGTCTCGCGTCTCGTGATATCAACTTCGAACATGTCAGACATGTCAGCGGGGCTGAGCTCGATCTCTGCCTCGAGGGCCTCCGCTGCTCCATGATGCTCTATGACTCTATGATCCGTGGCAGATCCGTACTGTGACGTGACACTTTTGCGGATTTTGGATGATTTTGGTACACAATTGGTGTCACTATGCATCAGTGATGTCATTAACATTTCAGCATCACAAATTTACATCATTTTACATTAGGATGGCCAGTTCGGCCTGTGTCTGTTCCATGTGCAAAATGACGGGAAACATATAAAACTATAGGTTTTGAATGTTTTGTGGATTTGGCGAAACGGGGAAAACAGTTAAAACTAATGTTTTCATGAATATTGTTTTAAAAAAATAAAAAGTCCTAAAAACACATAAAACTCCATAAAACAGTATTTTTCAGTGATTTAGAGAAAACATGAAAAAAACACAATTGTATAATCTTGTCTGGCCAAAATCACGGGCTGATTGCAACTGCACGCTCTTTTCGGTTCAATGCACGTTCTCAGTTGTTCTTTTCGGCAATTTTTACAAAAAAAACTGTGGTGACGGTGACGCTATGTGGCGGTACGTAGCGCTATCCCAAAATTGCATTTTAAAAAACTAGGCCACAGTGTGGCCCGAAAGAGAAGAGCAGGAAGGAGTCAAGAGAGGATGCAAAAGAAAATGAAAACGACGGATGATGAATGATGATGAAAGATAATGAATGACCAATGAAGTTGTTGATGTTTGATGAATGATGATGAGAACATATGACTGATTGACATTTTACATGCAGCCGTTGCACAAACAAGTTTTTACACACACGGACGTTTTTTTACACAGAGAAGTCTTTACACAGAGGAATTTTTACACACAGAAGTTTCTCTACACAAAGGTTTTTACACAGAGAAACTTCGACACACAGACGCGTATACACACAGAAACTTTGACACACAGATGCGTTCACGCTGCGCAAAAACTTTTACACAATTCACAGAGCAGCTCTTACACACAGCAGATCTTACACTCAGAGAAGTCTTTACGCAGAGGAGTTTGCACACGCAGAAGCAGAAGCTTTTACACAGGGAAGTTGTTTACACAGGGGAGTTTTTACACACAGACGCGTTTACGCACAGAAGCTTTTACACAGAGCAGCTTTTACACAGAGGAGTTTTTACACAGAGCTTTGTCACAGAAGAGTTTTTACACACTGGATCACACTGGCGCGTTTACGCACAGAAACTTTTACACAGAGAAAACTTGACACAGAGGAGTTTTGACACACAGAAGCTTCTACACAGAGAAAATGTTGCACAGAGGGGCCTTTACACACAAAATCACAAAAGCTTTTACGCAGATAAGTCCTTACACAGCAGAAGTTTTACACACAGACGCGCTGAAACACAAGCTTTTAAACAAAGCAGCTTTTACATACACAGAGCAGCTTTTACACAGAGAAACTTTTACGGAGAGAAGCCTCTACACAGAAAAGTTTTTACACACAGAAGCTTTTACGCAGAGAAGTCTTTACACATAGGAGCTTTTACACGCAGAAGCTTTTACACACAGAAGCTTTGACACCGAGAAGCCTTTACACAGGGAAGTCTCTACACAGAGGAGCTTTTGCACAGGGAAGTTTTTTAACAGAGAAGTCTTTACACAAAAGGGCTTGTAGACACAGAAGCTTCTACACGCAAAAGCTTTTGCACAGAGAAGTCCTCACACAGAGGAGTTTTTACTCACAGACGCGTTTACACACACAAGCTTTTTACACAGGAGCTTTTACACAGAGAAGCTTTTACACGGAGCAGCCTTTACACAGAGAAGCCTTTACACAGAGAAGCTTTTAAATACAGAAGCTTTTACACACAGGAGCTTTTACACAGAGAAGCTTTTACACGGAGCAGCCTTTACACAGAGAAGCCTTTACACAGAGAAGCTTTTAAACACAGAAGCTTTTAAACACAGAAGCTTTTGACACAGATATTTTTTTACACAGGGAAGCTTTTACTCATAGACGCGTTTACACACAGAAGCTTTTACACAGAGCAGCTTTTACAAAGAGAAGTTTTTGCAAAGAGAAGTCCTTACACAGAGGAGTCGTTACACAGAAGAGCTTTTACACAGAGAAGTCTGTACACAGACCAGCTTTTACACACAGAAGCAAAAGCCTTGACACAGGGAAGTCATCTACACGCAGGAGCCTGCACACGCAAACGCATTTACACACAGAAGCGTTTACACACAGAAGCTTCTACACAGAGAAACTTTTAAGCAGAGAAACTTTTACAAAGAGAAGTCTTCACACAGGAGCTTTTACACACAGACGCATTTTCGCACAGAAGCTTTTTACACAGACGCGTTTACACACAGAACTCTTCACACACAAAAGTTTTTACACACAGAAGCTTTTACACAGAGAAGCTTTTACACAGAGTATCCTTGCCACGGAGGACATTTGTGATGTGTCAAAAATCGCAATTTTACCTTTTGACGTTCGACCTTCGTTTCGTGCGAAAGGGTTGCATCTGGTTTTTCAAAATTGGAATTTTACACAATTTTTTGCGGTTCGACCTTCATGTCGTGCGAAAGGGTTGGATCTGATTTTTCAAAAGTGGAATTTTAGACAGTTTTTTTTTGTTTCGACGTTTCAGTTTGATGTTGTAAAATTGCGAACTAGTTTTTGCCGCTTGACTTTCATTGCCTGCGAAAGGGTTGCATCTGGTTTTTCAAAATTGCAATTTTACACCACTTTTTGCGGTCCGACATGGTTCGACCTTCATTTCGTGCGAAAGGGCGACGCCGCGCCAGAGAATATTCGCATTTCACTAAGGGTTTGTGCGTCCGACACGCACGATCTCCGCAGAGGATTGACTCCTAAATGACTCCTGTGTAAGATGTATAGCTGAAGTTGATGTAGATGATGTAGATGATGTATGTGATGTAGGTGTAGATGATGTAAAGATGTAGGACATGGAAATAATGTATGTGATGTAGATGTAGTTGATTCAGATGATGTGGGTGATGCAGAAGATGTAGGAGATGTTGCGTAGATGAAATTAAAATTGAATTTGGCGGCACTTGTTTGGGAAAAGCCCTTCGCAGGAGCTTTCGGGCAAAAGTTGTTCTGCAAATGTGTTGTTTTTGCTATTTGTGCTGTTTTCAGCAAACCTCCGAGAAAAAAAAAAAACCTAACACAATGTGGGGCTATCCCAAAATTGCGGAGAACCAAGTTTTTCTCCATTTTCATGTTTTTGTTCTCAGGAAATCTTCAAAAAACTGTGGTGGCGCTATGGGGCGCCTATCCCAAAATTCCCGAGAAAAACAGGTTTCGCAATTTTTGCTGATTTTGAAAATTTATCCCGCAGTTTGAAAAAACAATGTTTTTCTCAATTTTTGCTATTTTTTCTTTTTCCAGAAAATCGCCGCTATTTTTGTTGTTTTTTGTTTCGGTAAATCTCTAAAAACAATCGTGGCGCTATGTGGCGCTATGTGGCGCTATGTGGTGCTATCCCGCAATTTGAACACAACCATTATTTTCTCAATGTTTGCTACTTTTGCTGCTTTCAGGAAGTCTCCAAAAACAGTGGTGGCGCTAGGTGGCGCCAGCTGGTGCTATGTGGCCCTATCTTAAATTTTGGGGAAAACTAAGTTTTCTCAACTTGTCCTATTTTCAAGGCATCTCCAAAAACAGCAGTGGCACTATGTGGCGCTATGTGGCGCTATGTGGCGCTATCCCGCAATTCGAAAAGGCAAATTTCTCTCAATTTTTGTCTTTTTGGCTGTTTTCAGGACATCTCCAGAAACAGTGGTGGCACTATGTGGCGCTATGTGGCGCTATGTGGCGCTATGTGGCGCTATCCCGCAATTCGAAAAAGGCAAGCTTCTCTCAATTTTTGTCTTTTTGGCTGTTTTCAGGACATCTCCAAAAACAGTGGTGGCACTATGTGGCGCTATGTGGCGCTATGTGGCGCTATCCCGCAATTCGAAAAAGGCAAGCTTCTCTCAATTTTTGTCTTTTTGGCTGTTTTCAGGACATCTCCAAAAACAGTGGTGGCACTATGTGGCGCTATGTGGCGCTATGTGGCGCTATCCCGCAATTCGAAAAGGCAAATTTCTCTCGATTTTTGTCTTTTTGGCTGTTTTCAGGACATCTCCAAAAACAGTGGTGGCACTATGTGGCGCTATGTGGCGCTATCCCGCAATTCGAAAAAGGCAAGTTTCTCTCAATTTTTGCCTTTTTGGCTGTTTTCAGGACATCTCCAAAAACAGTGGTGGCACTATGTGGCGCTATGTGGCGCTATGTGGCGCTATGTGGCGCTATCCCGCAATTCGAAAAAGGCAAGCTTCTCTCAATTTTTGTCTTTTTGGCTGTTTTCAGGACATCTCCAAACACAGTGGTGGCACTATGTGGCGCTATGTGACGCTATGTGGCGCTATCCCGCAATTCAAAAAAGGCAAGCTTCTCTCAATTTTTGTCTTTTTGGCTGTTTTCAGGACATCTCCAAAAACAGTGGTGGCACTATGTGGCCCTATGTGGCCCTATGAGGCCCTATGTCCCTATGTGGCGCTATGTGGCACTATCCCCAAAGTCGAAAAACACATGTTTTCCTATTTTTTGCTGCTTTTGCTGTTTTGAAAAAAACTAAAAAAAAACCTGCGTCGCGCTGTGTGGCGCTATCCAAGACTGCCTGCAAGAAGAGCAGAAGGAGAAGAACAAGAGAGGATGCAAAAGAGGATGAAAACGATGGATGAAGACTGATGCAAAAAATGATATATGAAGGTGTTGAAAGTTGAAAGTTGATGATGATAATTTGAAATTGACTGACGTTTATACACACAAACGCCTTTACACAAACAAGCTTTTACACACAGAAGCTTTTACTTAGCGAAGTCTTTACACAGAGAAGTTCTTACACACGGACACGTTTACACACAAAGCTTTTACACACAGATGCGTTTACGGCAGGCAGAAGCGTTATCACAGAGCAGCTTTCACACAGAAGAGCTTTTACACACAGAAGCTTTTACACAAGGAAGTCTTTACACACAGGAACTTTTACACAAAGAAATTTTTACACAAAGAATCTTTTACACAGGGAAACTTTTACACAGAAATTTACACAGAGAGGTCTTGAAACAGGGAAGCTTTTACAGACAGGAGCTTCTGCAAGTTTTTGCACAGAGCAGTTTTTACACGGAGAAGCTCTTACAAACAGGAGCCCTTACACAGAGAAGCTTTTGCACAAAGCAGCTTTTACACACAGACACAGAAGCTTTTACACAGAAGTTTTTACACACAAAAGATTTTACACAGAGAAGTCTTTACACAGATGAGCTTTTACACTGAAAAGATTTCACACACAAAAGCTTTTACACAGAAACGACTTTACACAGACCAGCTTTTACACACAGGCGCGTTTACACACAGAGGCCTTTACACAGAGAAGTTTTTACACACGGAAACTTTTACACAAAGAAGTTTTTACACACAAAAGATCTTACACTGAGAAGGCTTTGCACAGAGAAGTTTTTACACACAGAAACTTTTACACAAAGAAGTTTTTACACACAAAAGATCTTACACTGAGAAGGCTTTACACAGAGGAGTTTTTACACACGGAAACTTTTACACAAAGAAGTTTTTACACACAAAAGATCTTACACTGAGAAGGCTCTACACAGAAGAGCTTTTACACACAGGCTCGTTTACACACAGAAGTTCTTAAACAGAGCGGCTGTTACAGAAAGAAGTCTTGACACAGAGGATCTTTTACACGCAATGACACAGAAGCTTCCAAACACACAAGCTTTCACACAGAAGTCCACACACAGAGGGGCTTTACACACAGAAGCTTTTACACCGAGAAGCCTTTACACTTTACACAGAAGAACTTTTACACACAGGCTCACTTACACACAGAAGCTTTTACACAGAGAAGTCTTGACACAGAGGAGTTTCCTACACACAGAAGGAGAAGTCGTGACACAAAGAGAGAAGCTTTTACACAGAGAAGTCTTTACACATAAGAGCTTTTACACACAAAAGTTTGCACACAGAGAAAGTCTTTACACAGAAGCGTTTTTACACACTAAGAGTGAGCTTTTACACACGGAATCTTCTAAACAGAGAAATCTTTACACAGGAGAGCCTTTGCACACAGGCGCGTTTACACACAGAAGTTTTTACAAAGAAAAACTTTTACACACAGAAACTTTTACACAAAGAAGCTGTTACACAGAGAAGCTTTTACACAAAGATGTCTTTACATAGAGGAGTTTTTACATAACTTTTACTATTAATGGCTCATAGAAGTTTTTGCACGGAAAAGTTTTTTTACAGAGAAGCTTTTGCATAGAGGAGTCTTTACACAGAGAGGCCTTTACACAAAGCAGCTTTTAGACACAGAAAATTTTACACAGAGAAGCTTACATAGAGAAGTCTTGGCACGGAGGAAGTTTGTGACGCTTCAACATCGCAGTTGTACCTCAGTTTTGAACGTTTGACCTTCACGTTGCGCGAAAAGGGTTGCATCTGAGATTTTGAAATCGAAATTTAAACACAGCTTTTTGAGGTTTCACCTTCATTTCGTGCGAAAGGGCTGCATCTGATTTTTCAACATTCAATTTTACACAAGTTTTTCGACATTTCCCTTTGACGTTGTAACATCACAATTTTGCACAAGTTTTTGCCCTTTCATCTTTATTGTGTGGGAAAGGGTTGCATCTGACCTTTCCAAAAAAAAAATACAACAGTTGCGCGAAATTGCGACGCCACACCGGAAAGTGTTCGCATTTCACCAGTTTGTGCGTCCGACACGCACCATTCCCGCAGAGGGTCACGTTTCGATGGACGAGGTTTGGCCGCCCCTGCCGCCCAAAGCGAACAAAAAATTAAGAACTTGAGAAGTAGGAGTTTTGTAGGAGTTCAGATACCACTAGATCACCCAGAAGTTGACGCCTGAGAAGTTTGATAAATAAACTCTCGTGCAAGAACTCCTGTGTAAGAACTTCTGTGTAAAACAAATGTGTAAATCATTCCTGTGCAAACGACTCCTGAATGACTCCTGCGTAAGATGGAAGTTGATGTAGATGATGTAGATGATGCAATGTGATGTATGCGATTTCGATTTAATTGTAGATGTAAATTATGTATGTGATGTAGATGTAGTTGATGCAGGTGATGCAGGTGATGTAGGTGATGTAAAACATGTAGGAGATGTTGTGTAGATGAAGTGACAAATTGAATTTGTTGGCAGCAGTTCTTGCTCCAATATTTCAATATTTCTGATTTCTACAAAAACACCCCAAAAAAAAACTAAAAAAAATAGACTTTCATTTTTTCGGGAAATTGCGAATAATGTAGAAAATGCACGTTTTCCTTACTCGAAGCACGTTTTCAACATATCTATAGAGGAGCATGCTCACAGGCCAAAACTGGCCGTCCTAAATTTTACATCTTTGGGGGTATAAAAATACAAAGAATTATAATTATATATACATAGTCTATACATGTCTATACCACATTGATCTTCATGAAGATATTTGAATCAAAACACTCCCGCCTCTGGCTCAAGCTGCAACGGTGGCGGCACCGGGTCGCCATCCGCGTCGCCGGGGTCTCCGCCCACATCCTCTTTGCAAATTGATATTCGGATGAATCTGGGGGAAAAAATTGGCAAAATAATGGATGATCATGGATGATCAGGGACCATGAACAGGAACAATTCAATATACAATTGTCATATAATATATATATAATATCATATGGTCTTTTTAAACATGTATCTTAAACATATCTTAGCCATCCAGTTTGAAATCAAACAAACACAGAAACATCATGAAACATCATGAAACATCTCTGACTAATCGCACATCTCTGACCACCGTGGTGTCACCGTGGTGTCCTGCGGTTCCGGTTGTCCCTCCCCGTCGTCCAGGCGGCCGCTGCTGGCGTTGCTCCGTGGACTCGACGGCGCAGAGGGCGAAGGCGCCGGCGCCGGCTCTGCCAGCTCTGCCATTGCAGCTGACCAACCGAGGCTTTGGAAAATGTTGACCGCTGACGCAGCTGACCAACCTTTGAAAACTCCTTCTTGACGGTGGCTGTAGAAAAGAATTGCCGTTTTCTTTAATTTTCTTTGCGCCTTTCTCGGGTGTTTTTGAACGGTGTTGTGCAAGCTGCAAGCTGTGATGTGAAGGTATTTCCAAACATGCTTTTAAGAATTTGTGGTGTCACATTGTTTCATCGCTGCTGAGTCCTCATTCTCTGTCACGGATGCGTGCAATGGGTCCGACTCATATTCTTCATGTCACGTACGCAAAAGCCAAAGTGTAGCAGAAAAAAAGATGGCACCAACATGGGATCATTTTACAAGCACACAACACCATGCTGTGATGCTTCCAAGATTTGGTCCAAACATGGGGCATAGACTCCATAATTTGTCTTATCTTCGCGGGTGCAGGTACCGCGGTTACATCAAATCCATTAAAATTGCTAACTGCTACCGTGGCATACCCCAATTTCAAGGTGAATGATGTGAATGTTTGGTCGCGTGTCGCGTGTCGCGCATCGCGCCATGTCGCGCCATGTCGCGCCATGTCGCGCCTGGGCCACGTAGTAGCCTTCTTCATCATCCCAGTCCTCAGTCGATGCACCTGGGCAGAACGACCCGAGAGATGTTTCACCATGAACCAACAATGATCAAAAGTGGATCTATCGCAATCATTGGGGCAGCCTATCAATTTCAACCAGCCCCGTTCTAAAGGTTTACATTTAGGCTGTGAAACATGACTGGAGAACACAAAATCCTTTCAAACGTTTCTGCTGGTTAAGCCACCGCCTTTAAAAATAGTGCCAACTTTGGATCATCATCCAAGAAGGGGAAACAGGAAAATGTGTGTAACCACCGGCCAGATTTTCAGAGTCAATCAAACCGTTTTGACCTTCGCCCATTCCCATTGCCCCTCCTGTGGTAGCGATGTTCTGTGTGCGCTTCTGGCCAGCCCTTGGTGAAGTCCCGTGCAAAGCAGCTGGTGAGAGTTAGCTTTCTGAGCCCGCAATGTTTTCACCGAGGCTACCAGTGACACTGAGAAGTGACAACTGTCACAACTGTGAGAAAGGAGGCAAGCTCCTCAATCTAAAGGCTGTGGAAAGGCGGGAGGACATGGAGGACTAAAAGACAGTGCACTTGAAGAGACATAGATATGACATAGATATGACATATAGACTCTAGACATGACATAGATATAACATGATGATATAACTATAGATTCGATAATTCCATATAATTCCGAGATGTTTCATGTTGCCAGAGCCTGAGAGAACGAGCACGGTTCTGAGACAGCCGGCTTCAGTTCTTTTGCGTCCTGTGTCAAGTCAAACCTGCCAGGCCAAAACAAAACAGGAACAGGCTCCCCTGATCTCCCTGATCTCCCTGACTCCCGAGTCAGATTCAAATCACGGAAGAATCACGCAGGTTCCAAATGGTTCCAAGTCCAAACAAGCCAGTTCCACATGTCACCACCACCATCGTCATGATCCTTTTTGGCCTCGCCGTTGAAAGCCGTCCCACTTCTTTAAAATTCTTCAAAAGAGTTGAACTGTTTCATCTTGAGAATGTTTATGCCCACTCGAGTTGCCGAAGACTGAAGCGATAGATCAGTTTAGGGGAATCATTGACAAAAACAAAAGAAATGAAAATACTATGGCTATTGAAGTGGCACTCTCCAATGAGAACGTATCATAAATCCATTTCAACATCCATAGACAGATTGTGGCCACCATCCACGGCAAAGCTTGATGTGCACCTCCTCATTTCCTTCGCCGGAGCCTGCCAATCAGTCACCCAAACTGCTCACAAAACAGCTCAAATCTCTTCAAATTGTTCACTGATCGTTCACGTGATCAAAACATGTGCTTTCCCAAGAATGAAAAATCATTGGAAGACTTCTTATTCAAAGAGAGGTCAACAAAAACTGTGTCTTTACGATGTTCCGATGACCTGCTCCGGCCGATCAAAAAAGTATGGTCGGTCCATCTGTGGAAGTTCTCAGCCTGATTTTTCCGAAAAACACCAGGTTTTTTGATGTTTTTTGGCCCGAACCCATTGAAGCCATCTGGTCCGCCTGCAGCTCTGCCATTGGAATCCACTGCTGGTTCGCCTCAGGTGCAGTTGCCGGTGCGTCACAAACATCTTGCTGAAATGACAACATATAGTCTAACTAATGATGTAAAATATAATATATATATATACATTGATGTATAACATTCATATAACATTCAAGATGATCACTACGATTGTCACTACATTGTCACTACATTGTCACTGCTCACTACGTGATCAGAATCTGCGGAACATCACCTTTCTATTCATAGGAATAATAGAGACAAATAGAGAGAAAAAGAGATAAGAATAACATAGATATATAAATCGATGTAAATCGGGTGTCAGTGTGTGTTCTCCATTGCCCCCATGGATTTTTGGCGCACTCCATGTCTCCACAGCTGAGCGTCCCGCGGTCAGATGTCCTGCTTGCCTCAGGGGCCTCAGTGTGTCGATCATCAGTCACTTGGGGGAAACCATGGGAAACCCATTTTGAATTTCAGGAAAGCCAAGTTACAAATACGGGAATCCCTTCCTCCTAATAATCCACCTTTCAATACCCCAAGAACCTTGGTGGAACGTACTGGATTTGTTCATGTTGGTGGTTTCAACCTATCAATCTCCTTTTATAAAAGAAAAAAAAGAAAATAATCAACTGAACGCGAAATTGGTATCCATAACACATGGTTGAAACCACCAACCAGAATAGTTCTTCCACTCTTGGGTCCTAACAGCAACTGAAGGCTATAAACTATAATCCTGTAAATTCATGTGAATTATTTTTCATGCGTTTTCATGTTATATATATCCTATTATATCCTCTCCCAGAGCGTTCCTGTCTTCGCTTGAGCTTTTTCTCCAAATGTCACGAAACGGTCGCGCACCAAGCGCAAATTGCTGGATCACCTTCAGCTCGGAGGAAACACTCAACATACTCAACACAAAGCGACAGAAAGTGAAACAGGAATAAACAGGACTAAAATCAAAAAAAGATATCTCAAGATCATCACACAGGGCACAGGGCTTTGATAGGATCATGCACGGAGCAAATCAAATGTACAAGTGTGATGCAAGAGCTTAAATAAAACTAGACACGTCCTAATTGCTTGGGATTAACTTCTTTGATATAGTTTTTTTCTGGTAAAAAGGCAAGGTGATGACAAAAGATGGAAAAGGACCAAGGCCATGGTACCATCATCCAACAGAGTGCAGCGCCCACAGAAGCTGCATAAGAGGTGTGGCTCTGCAAGCAAGGGCCTTGGGAGAACATCAAGCGAAAAGAAACTGAAGAAAACTCTCCAAGATTCTAAATCCAAAATGAAATCATCGAACGTCCATGAATCAAGGCAATAAGTCGATAAAAATAAGACAATTCGGAAAGTGAGATAAACCAACTAATACATAACGAATCTCACCGCCACCCGTGAACGACCCAAGCGTCCGCAAGTCCCGTTGGCACAAAGGGAAGTGATGACTGCCACACGAGGCCCGCATCCTGTGCCACGGCTGGGAATTTGGATTTGGGCCCATCTGGGCTAATTTGCATGGAAAATATTCCATGGGTTTTCGATGGTTCTCTCATAGATCCCGATCGTTTCTGATCAAATTCAAAGAATTATAAAGAATTACTACCGATCCAAACATGAAACTTACAACAAACGGGTAAAACTGGTGCAGAGTTGTTACTTTTTCCCATGATTTCCCATTGCCATCCGGTGCCTACCCGGTAATTCGCCAAGTCACAGGGTGGAGTCTACTCCCAGCTGCTTCCCACAGAGCTGGCACTCGCTGCCAGGGGCGAAGTTTGGAGTTTCCATCGTCTGCCCTGCACACCTGGCAGAACAAACTGAAACAAACTGGCAGAAATGATGGAGAAATGATGAGAAACGTGAACTTTTTTCCAATTCCAACTGCCAACTGGCGGGCTATTTATCCCACCCAGCTCATTTACCCAAGGCTTACTATTACTTACTATTACTTACTGTTACTTACTATTACTTACTATTACTTACTAGTCGACCATACCCACAGAAGGGATCAAACCACTAGGCTTAAGCAGCTTACCCCACGGTTGTTTAAGATCATCCACTACCAACTAGTAGCTGATAGGTAGCTGAACACCTGAACAAGCTGGATCACTTGGTGCATCTTGGTGCATCTTGGTGCTGCTGAGCAGCCCAATGTCTTCCACGTTGTGCAGAAAGGCTCCCACCACTTGGGCTTTGGCGATGCCATTCTTCAAGCCAAACATCTCAAGCCGCTGCTGCCAATACGCGTTGGTTGCCGCCTGTAAGGCTCGGGGTTTCTTGACCAACGGCTCGGCATAGCTCCCATATTTTCGCTGCGTTTTGTCTCTGGTGGCATTTCGGCCTAATTCCAGCCAGGCATTTCGCAGTTGACACACCACCAATGGATCCACTTCTCCCAACTCATCCCGCAGCAAATTTAGGAAATGTTTCTGCCTGGCGGTGGCGGTAGCCCAACGTTCCGTCAAACTTTTGGAGGATCCAAAGTGGCTCAACGAAATGCTCTGAGCCGCGGTGTGGCGCAGCAACAAACTGCTCTTGCAGCTTGCGGGACTGGCAGTCTTGTCAGCGGAGCTGAAGGTTTGATGACCTTGAATCATTGAAGAGGCTTGACGCTTTCAACCCGGAAAATATTGGTCATGAGTCATTGGTTATGAGTCAGTCATTGGAGATCATCGGAACTCAATTTGATTGTAAAAGGATAATTTTAATATATTGATATATTTTAATAACATCCATAAAAACACCAGAACAGAAAACATATCTGCTCTATCCGTGCATGTGTGTGTGTCTTTACGGGATGCCCCCGATTGAAACACCAAGTGACAAATGCTGTCGTAGGCTTTGCAAAAACCTTCTTGCAGGTCCCAGAGCCACAACAGAGCTGCTTCTAGAATGGCCTTAGCAAAAGGAATCATCAGCGTGTCTATCTCTCTTGAAAGTTCGCTCACTAGATGGCAACCTAGTCAATTAATGTTAATTATTTAATTCATGTTAATTCTAATTAGATAGGCCTCTGGTCCTATCATTGCTCCCATCACACTGATCTCCTATTTCCCAAATGTTCCCAGTCCGCATCTGCATTCAGCTGCGGTCAGCTGCAGCTGCTTTCGAGTGACACACGGCAATTCCAGGGCTTCTTTGGGTTCCCGCATGGTGACTGTGGAGCGACCCGCTCCAAACATCATGCTGCGCCAGGCCTCACGCCGTCGTCAGCATCGGCAAGTGCCAATTTGATGAAGTCTTTATCATCAAATGTCCAAAAAAATCCAAAATCTTGTATCTCGTGTACACCGAGTCCACCATTGTTCATCATTGTTCATCATCTCTCTGACGTTTAATGAACCGGAGAAGGGGGACCTTTTGAATCATTGATTTCTCTCAGAGTTTCCCATGTTTCCCATGGCCTCGTGAACATCCCACAGGCTCAGCTGAAAGCCCGAGGCATTTCGCGCGCGAAGTCGTGCAGCGCGCAGCGCCTGTGTGACGTGCCGCAGCATGGCGGTGAAGGCGTGCGACGGAGTTCCCAGGGCCGTGGCCAACACAAAGGTCACCTAACGGCACAACGGAGGCAGGTTGGAGGTGGTTGGAGCGGGAATTGGGTTTGGCATGTCCCGAAGTGCTTCAAAGTGCTTCATGTGTAGCATATAATCATGTATAATTATATAATCATATACAATGAATACAATACAATGTATGATTCATGCGCTGAAGTGATTAGATCATACGGTTCTATGATGTTCTATGTGATTGTTCCCATTGGCAAAAATGGGGCTGGGGAAGTCAAGATCTCTGGGAGCAATCAGCTGGCAACATATTGCAACGTCCAGGACCAAAACATTTGAAAATCTATCACCATGGCTGCTTCTCATGCAGAGTTGCTGGTCGAATTTGAGTTGTTCGTGCGGATGGGACCGTTGACTGGGTGACCAGCAAGCAATGACTGGGCGACATCGTAAAACCACCTGGTAGCTGCGCAGCCGGAGAAACGAGATAAGAATGTCACGGGAAAACCCCTCAACTCTTTATATGATTTTATATGTCTTTATTCCATTTACGACACTTTATGGCCGGTTTCAAACTACAGCCATTGTTGGTTATTAACTAGGGGGCCTGATGCAGCCTTCAAAATCTCTCAGCTGATCTCAGCTGTATATATGCCGACAACATCTTGCTGCACCTACCATATGACTGCACATCAGGTGGTAGGCACCAAAACCCCACTGGCCAAGAAGCAGAGCAGCTTATTGTCTTGTGCATACTCCCGTTCCCGGGCAGCAGTTCGCACCATGCGGGTTTCCATGCAGATGGCTGCTTGCTCGATGGCAGTGAAGTAGTTCTGCATGGTCTTAGCAGCCTGATTCCCACTCGGCTTCGACATCTCAAATGAAAAAATGTGCTCCAGACTGCGGATGAATTCTCAAGCTGTTACCCGGAGATTTCTACAGATTGCCCGTTGCAAGGTCTGTTTACCAACGCTCAGCAACCCTTTCCCCTCTTCAAACGTCCCGCAGAAATCTTGGTAGGTTCGTCTCTTATTTTTCTGGTGGGATTCAGACGGGAAAAAGAGTTTCTGATGTGACCAAGTTACTACCCATGTGTTCTGGGTGTACAGTTGGATATAGTTGGATATAGTTGGATCATGTTTAGAAACCATGTTAGAATTGTTTCAATTTTGGATGGTTTGGAACCCAGGCACCAAGCTGCAAAGCTGCCTGGGCTCCAGAGTTTGAGAGCCTGGTCAGGTTGCACAGGTTGCATTGCACCAAGAAATCACCAAGATACATTGTGGCGATATGTGACGATCTCCAGAACATGTGTATTTGAACTATTTGACACTAAAATGATCAGATTAAATCACAATAAATTGAATGCATGTTCGAGATTGGGGACACGTTGATAGCTTTGAATGTTATATTATTGTGCTAAAATGGCTGGTAAATGGATGGTAAATGTATGATCAATTGATGTTCTTATCCCATTCACCTGCTTGTCATTGGTATTGCATGGTATTGCCTTGAGGGAATCATTGAAGTCATTGAATTGAACCACTATGCAAGCGGCATCTGGCACCTTCCAGTAAACGCCAAATGACCCCATGGCCCATAGAGTCCATGGTGAGAATGTTGGCGCGTTCTACGAAGGAACTTCCCAACTGTGCCACGTTGGCAAAGACGCCCGCGGTGTCACAACACGCTGAGACAATGGGAACTCCGTGGCAGGGAGGACTGGCGTGGAACTTCCGGCAGCTCAACTCAGAGCCAGAGCCCGAGACTTCCAGCAGCACAGCTGAAACCCGGACGCCCTCTACAACAACAATCAGGAAATCGATGCCATTCGCGGAAGGCTCGGAAGAGATCACCACGTCTGAAATAGGAGCGTCCACTTTGATCAGCTCGCAGAAGGAAGAAATGGATAGAGAGCTTGGACCTGGAACTGGACCTGTTTGACCTGGGGATTTGAAGGTGAGCTTCTTGGTTAGAAGATGTCCCTGATTGGTGCCGAGGATTAACAAAGTGTTCACTTCGTAGACTTCGCTCTTCTCGTTTTTTCTGCCTTTGGTCTCCTTGTTCTCCTTCTCTTTGGCCCAGCTCTTTGACAGATCCAATCCAGTGATGATGTCTGGACCCATGGGTCCATCTTCCAAGACAATACTCTTCAGCAAATGGCTGCGGACTCGTCTTCCCTCCTTTCCCTCCTTTCCCTCCTTTCCCTCCTTTCCCTCCTTTCCCTCCTTTCCCTCCTTCCTCTCGAGGGTCCAAATCATCACGGTGGGCCCCCTGCTGGCGCACAGCACGGGAGCCTGGCCGCCAGAGGCACCGTGTGTTGGTGCGAAACAGACCTCCACCACCGGTGTCGCTGACGTGGCCGTCTTGGCCACAAACTCCTCGGTGAGATCCGCCACAGGGGCGGAGTCCGGTAGCTGAGGCGCATAGATTTTCCTGGCTTGAGGCGTGCGTGAGAAAGGTATGGAGAAACGAAGAAAAGCAAAGAAAAGCAAAGAAAAGCAAAGAAAAGCAAAGAAAAGCAAAGAAAAGCAAAGAAAAGCAAAGAAGCGTCAAGAAGCATGAAGAGGCAGCAAAGAATTCTGCTTGTCAAGAATTTTGTGGATGGCATTCATTTAAGAACTTGCCATGCATGTGGATGCGTCTGTGTGTGTGTTCTTCAAAGTTCACATGCTTTCATGATCTTCCTGGTCTTCCTAAAGTCGCTTCATCCTTTGTAGCAGGGCAGAGTGTGCAGTGTGTGCAGTCAAGCCACACGCATCCAGAGGTATCTGCCAGCGCCAGCAGAAAGCCTCCTTTGCCAGGCGGGGACCAGGACATGCTGCAGGGCACCGGTTTGGTTTGCAGCACCTGACGTGGAACCACGTACAAAACGACATTCCACGACGTTCCACGATCCGCAGAAAGATCGGAACGGGATTACGCATGAATCAACATGGAATCAACATGGAATCAACATGGAATCAACATAGAGATTGTGCAAACAATTTGTGACACAATGCTTTGACAACTCTTACAGTAGAATTAGAATCTCCACAGGGTCCAATTCCTCCAAGCCACATGCTGTGCCAAAGGCAGGTCCGTGCGATGTCGCTTCAGACCTTTCCCCTTGGCCTTCAGGTTTCGTTGGAATTTCAAGAAGGAACTCGCGAAGCATCATGAAGCATCATGAAGCATCATGAAGCATCTAGATGGAGTGCCACTTTATCTGGTGGATATAGCTCCAAAAACTAAGGGGCAGGGCACTAGAGATTCATGCTTGGGTCTGAACCAACTAGTTGACGGGTTTGCCGAAAGATGAACCGGGATGGACCAGGTAACAAATCAAACTTACACGATGTAAGCCAATGTAAGCATGTCTCTTCCTCTAATGACCCCTCCTCTGCAGGTTCGACACTTTTGGTCGGTTCCAACCCTCAATACTGCACCAGCGCCTCAATGGCTTTGAATTTCTTCCTGAATGCAGCTCGCAAGAACTCTGAGCACACCATTGGCCATGACTCTGGGCATAGCACTTCATCAAACATAATTCCTGCCCTAATATATCGAAAACCCCCCCAACCCTCATGTGGTATTGGATGTATTCTGACATCTGAGCCCCTGACACCAACCTCAGATCAACGAGCGACACAAATACCAAAGGTAGCATGGCGCATGCCCCTTGTAAGGTCGGACAACGGGAATATCTGCTAACATGATGTAACATGTTTAACATGATGTAACTTAACATGTTTAAAAAATGTAACATACTTACACCATCTTACACCAACATGATGTAACATGAAACCCTTCCTGCACGTGTCCCCAATGTCTTGGGCAAGCTTTGTGCAGCCTGAGAACCAAGCTTCGCCTGTCTTTTCCAATGCTGCCTGCATGTCGATCACGTGGCACTCCTCTTCCGTCCTAAGATTTTCCACGCAACGGTGCACTCAGAAATTGCAGGTTCACCCAGTTCACCCATCATTTATCTAGGCCTACCATAGGTCCTATTAGGTCCATAGCCAATAGATGCTAATAGGAGCCCATTCTCACCATTGATCTATTCAGATCCATTCAGCTTCGGATTCCGTGTTTTCGGGACTGCACACAGTGCACACGGTGTCCGTCCCAAGGCTCAGATACGCCAGCAGCGTTCCCTGGGACCATCGCGGCGTCCCCCTCGCTGGGGACTGCCCCACCCCCGACGCTGCCGCCACCCAGGGCAGTTCCATCGCCTGGAAGTGGAAGGTTAGTGACGTCACTAGTGACCGCTGAGATTCGTAACGGACTCAAACTAAATCGTACGAAATCGCTGGGGGAACCACTTTTTCCTCACCAAGTGCAAGGACTACCACAATTGAACAACAATTATGAGATGTGTCCCTGTTTTGTCCTATCCCACTTTGACATGATAACAGTTGATAACACTTGAATGTTGTGACATGGTGACAACCCTGCCTAGGTTCATTCAGCACGGCACATGGCTCAGAGTGAGCCAACGCATCAAGTTTCTAAACGATGATTCCCTTCAGATTAAGATTTCAGATTTAGATACCTCAATGTGATTTCCACTCAGCTTTACTGTATTGTCCTTAATTCTAGCTCGCCTCACTCACATTTGTTCAACTCATTTCAACTCAACATGATCCGAACGTGGGACTCTCCAACTGCCAATGATCCCATCCATGCAAATGAAATCTGCCAGGACATGTGTGGAAACATCTTGGGCCTTGGGCCAATGCCAAGCTTGAGACAGCAAAACGAGCACCGTGATGAATTTGAGTTTGCATCTCGAGCTGCTGTATGTGGCTTGGTTCTGCGCTGAACGCATAGGAACAAACCAGAAAATGGACCCTCTGCCAGTTGGATCCATCTGAGATTCGAAACGTCAACTTTGTTGTTGTCTGCTTTCTCAGCTTTCTCGGCTTTCTCTTCTTTCGCCTTTGGATGTTGGCCCCCCGCACTGGCTGTAATCTGTCTTGGAAAATCTCAGCAATACCCTACGTGCCCGAATGCATGTGCAACTAGTTACAGTACTTCACATCACGTCCATTTACATCCACACCTGACAATCTTGCATTTATGATGTTTGTGTGTGTGTACTTGACTGCATGTATTTGTGTCTTTTTTATAAATACATAATGTTGCATAAGTTATATACATATCTCAGATCTCATATCATATATAATACCATCATATCATATGAGTCATATGGATTATGGAATTCATATTTTCCACATGCTTTGTGTCGTTTCTGCTTCGATGTTCGGTCATCGAATCCGCCTGCGTCATCATCGCTGCGCGGCGCTTGCGGCTTTCCTCCAGTTTCCGTGCAGCGGCTTCCTCGTCGTCCGAGTGGGCACGGAGATCCTCGCCCTGCACAGCACATGGCCATGGCCACAAACCCATGGGCTGGGCGGCTGGGCTCAAAAATGGAATGGTAAATCTGGCCATGAAAAATGATAAATAAAGGAAGTAAAGTACACCCAACAATAATCCATCTCCAGTTTTAACAGAAATGGGTAGTACAAACCAGCCCAAACAGGGGGAGTGTTAGTGGGTTTACCTGCTATGAAGGAGGTGTATACACAAACTGAAGAAACTTGGACTTCGGTCCAAACAGGGTGTGAAATGAGAATGATGTCCAAAGATGCACACGGGACAGGCATTGCGACATCTGTATTTCTCAATGCAAGCATCTTTTAGGCGGCATTTTTCTGCAAAACAGTGTGCTTCCAAGAGGCTTCAACCTCTTTCACAACATTCTTGGTGCGAAACCACAATGTGTAACCATGTTTGATATGTTTGTTTGGTCGTTTCTCCCATGTTTCTCCCATGTTTTGCCTCATCTGCCTCTTCTCTCCAATTAGTTGCAGGTTTTGCAACCTTCGGAGGTGAAGCTGGTGGCTCCCTCGGAGAGGCGTTTTGGAAAGGATGGAGCGATAGCAGCGATAGCTGCCATGGCTGCCACGTTGCGCTAAGGCCACCACGGAGACCTGTCTGACCTGTCACCATGGAGTCACTTCGTCAAATCCAGGTACTTTCTGATGCTTTCTGATTTGATCTTGGGGTGTCTTTTTGATCATTTTGATTATTTTGATCATTTTGATTGGTACTTTGATGTCTTTCATTTTGCCGGTTTTCATCGTTTTTCTCTGGCCTTCTCTTCCGATCTTCTCGATCCCGGTCGCGATCGCCCCGATCCCCCCGATCCCGGTCGCGGTCGCGGTCCAGCCGCCCGTCGCGGCCGTCACGGCCGTCACGGCCGTCACGGTCCTTTTCTCTGCGGCCGCGGTCCTTCTCCTTCCTGGCGCGACAGGTGATCGACCATGACATCCCATGACATCCCATGACATCCCATGACATTAAGACTCATTAAGACTCAAGACCATTAAAATAGTTAAAACTTGATATGTGGATAAATTCGTGACATGGAGCAAGGGGACATCATGCTAATTTTGCAAAAGCACACTAAGTATGATTGAGTTGTTTATCGCGAGTTGTACCTTTACCATCCTCTATATTGAGTTGACTAAACATGCCAGCAGAACTTTTCTTTCTTGTCAGTCTTGTCATCGCGCTTTCGTTTGCGTTCCTCAGAGCACGGGTTCACTTAGGCTGAAGAGGAAGCGATAAGCAGAGGACAAAGGACTCGGCATGACTATGTGGGATAAAGATGGATAAAGATGGACAAAGGATGATGGATTTGTTCTACTTGATGATTGGCAATGATTGGTTACAATGAATTCCACATAAATGGGATTGTGGTCGTTCAAGAGCAAATAGACAAATGCACAATATTACACAACCAAATGGCAGTTAAAGGGACCAAATATTCATTCTTGCCATTTCTGGCCTGATGTTCAAGCCATCAGCCTGGTCTTGGCTCATCTGAGTTACTGCATACTCTGGACTGGCATCGCGGTGACGCCCGCTTTTTCGCCTCAGATCCCCAAGGTCATAGTGTCGGATGGATGTAACCCTGGTCGATTTTTAGGGAGTCATCCACCAAAACAGAAAGAAAAAATCGTGATGGCGATTTTTCATATTTTTCATGGCACTCCCCAATTAAACAGCCCAAGGGTCAACAGTCCGGGATGTCGCCCAGGCGCTAACGTCAACCAGAATGCGCTTGAAACCATCAATGTCAACATCTGTTGGTGGTTTTAACCATTAAAAAAAAGAAAAATGTCCACTGGATTTTCACAGTGTTTCCTTTACATCCCAGCTACTATGGAAAACAAGACATATCTGAAACCAGCAATCGATGGTGGATGATGGACCGATGAGATCAAAATCACATCGACGGAAATCTGGGCATGTCTGGGCCACCAGCTCGTCGCGAGAAGACATGACCTGGACCTATCATGACCTCACCGTCAACGGTGTAGGCTTTGAAGAAAAGGACATGGAAAAGATCTTCCTCACTATTTTGATATGTTTTGATCTGTTCATATGTGCTCGATCCTTTGGGATTCTTTTGAGTCCAACATCTTTGAGCTTGATGTCGTGTCAATGTCGTGTCAATGTCGTTTCCATTGTTGGACGCCTGGCTTCGCTTCGCTGATTCTGGGGCAGCCACTTCATGCCCGTCGCAAATCCCGGTGCGGGCTACAAGAAGCTGCGCCAAAATTGCCCAAGAAACAACGGCAGGTCTCGATGCATTTCAAAAGTTCGGACAGGAAACAAATGCTCAAACATGTGGGAAATCTTGAAACGCATTTGCACTATGGCACTATGATTTGTCTCCATAGTCTCGGTTCTCTGATGTTTCAGCATGGTTAAACGCCATGATCGCCATGTCTTCACATCGACTTCGCTGCTTTTCTCAAAGCATCTGTCCGCATAGAGGAGCTCCCTCAAATATCTCAAATGTCGATGTACGAGCCTACGAAAATCTCAAAATGTCTCACGTCTTGACAGTTTCATGGCCGTTTCAGCTACCATCTTCCAAATTCAGGATGTTTCATAAGTTTCATAAGTTTCATAAGTTCATAGCAAGTTTCGTAGCTACTTTGACGCACTGCTTTGAATCCCTGTGGGAGAAAGCTTTTCCGAATACCTGAACATCATAGAAAGAGTATGAGAGATTCAGATTCCGAAGAAGAAAATGAAAGTAACATGAAATAAGGATGCATTCAATGCATTCCGCCTTCGTTTCATGAGACACGGATAGGGCCGGCCAGGCCGGATAAGGATGATAAGGTGTCTTTTTTTTGGCGACGCAGAGTTGCCGCACCTTTGGCATCCAAAGGTTTGCCACTGATGTGTAGCAGCACCACCATCAGCCATACACCACCTGCGTAGATCAATTCGTGCGCAAAGCTCAACACAAACCTCGGGTCGGTTCGGGTCGGTTCGGGTCAGGCGCTTTCATGCGCTTTCAATATCGCTGCAATCATCTGCTATCATTCTTAAGTTTAATATTCTTCCCATCTCGTCCACTAACTCGTCCCATCTCAGTACATAACTGACGTAACTCAAGTAATTTTCATAATATCTCATAATATCTCATGTAAGTTGTTAGGATTGCGTGGGCACCGCAAACTTGCTCCAAGTAACCCAGTGGTCAGAAAAACCAACGGCACGGCACAGGCATATCGCAATGCTCCATCACAGCCGGTGCTGGACCCGCCTGAGATCGAAGATGGACACATGAATAGACCTGCCATTAGGGATCATTAGGGTGGCTGTCAGACTGTCCCAAGTGACCAACGTCCAACTAAAGGGAGATCGTCCTCAACAACCACTGAAACGTGGGACATGTATGATACATGTAACATACATGTACCCACCCTGTCCATTGCAACATGTTCGTCAACACGTTGGTTGGTCAACAAGTTGTTTGCTGCAAATTGATGCAGGTTAAAGCCAAGTTGCAATCTGTGAACCTCAGATTGGGACAATAAAAGTGTGGTGTGAGAACAATGAGAGCGGACAATGCTTTGCAAAGGGAATGATCTCCTCTGGCAATTGGGCGAAGGGGTTCATAAAGGGCCGTGTCCACATATCACCTACATACACATCCTTGATGTCCCCAGCTGCTATAGCTCTCATTTGGCAGTACTCTTGTTACACCATCACAGCGTTCGACACCAGGTATCTGATTCTCCTACTCAGTTACATTCAGTTACTGTGTTCCTCCCCTGGTATCTGCTCTCTCTATCTCTCCCCTGTCCTTTTGGGTAACTCTCGGTAACTTGATGAAACTTGGTCTTCCACTGATCTTTCAGGCGACAGCAAGGCATAGGTGACTCCGCAAAAGGCGGTGCCCAGCAGCAGGGCCCAAATGTTGGAGAGCAAACCGAGAAGTATGGCAGCTTGCAGCAAAACCACCTGGAGCCATTGCACTCCAACGGGAAAAAAAAAACACAGGAGGAAACAGGAGGCAAACGCGTAGATTCTAAGGAAAATAAGGAAAGACATGGAAAGACTGGAAAACGCAGTATGGCACAGTATAGGAACCATATGATGCAATATGATGCAGGTGGACCAGGTTCTGACGAAAGTGGAGAAGATTCGTGGCATTTCGTGGCCCAATGTTGCCAAATAGTGCCAAGTGGCGTAGTTTGCGCAGAAATAGACGCCGTTGTGAAGCATCCGATCTTTCACTTCAAGAAGATCCCGAGGCAAAGCCAACCCACCTCAGGATCTCACAGCCTCACAGACGCCTCACAGAATCACAGTGAAACAACATCTAATGAAATTGCGTGAAACCCAAACTGCGTGAACCTGGATTTGCCTGGCTTTAGAGGTAGTTTTAACGACTGCACTCTCTATCACAAAGTATCACCAATACGGAAGCTGCGTTTCATGATGCGGAATGTCAGCCCATCATCAATATGGATTGATAAGCACAGGTTGGCTGAGTTTTTGGGCGGGCCCCCACCCCCAAAGTGAAAATCCTCTATTGAAAATGGCCTGGCCAATGGAACAGCCCACAAATCAACATCCACACAAGGGGTCAACATTTTACTTCCGAACAGCCACCAGGATCAACATTTTCGGCATTGGTCCCCAGGAATAGCCTTCACTATACCATACTTCTCATAGTATCTCATGGTATACCTTCACTACCCACTGGCATTGTGGGCAGGGGATATCAACAAAATTCAATAGGTATCAGATATGAAAATTCCTAAGATCCTTTCCAATCTTTCCAGCTGAAGCTGCAGAATTCGCGGCTCCATGGCCGCACCCTCGCAACACCGCAGCTGCCCATGCCGCCCATGCCATCGGCCAGCACTGCCCGGGCTGTGGCGGCACCATCCATGGCATCCATGACGTGTGGAGTTTTGCATGTCAAAACGGTCTAAGGGAAAATCTCAGGGTGTTGTTTATTGTTTTTATTGTTTTTTGCTGCATACAGCATTGGCGACTCAGATTCTAAGGGGAAAGGATGTCAGGGCTGTTGGGGGAACAAATCGGGATTCGGGAGAAAAGCAGGGTGTGCAAAGAGTCAGTGATTGACTTTCCATGCAATGTTCTCCTGCGTTCTGAAAGTGTGCCGAGTTCCAACATGTTGCAACTACCTTTGTTCTTCCAAGTGGTGTTCGGTGATTTTGTTTCCACGTTGTTTGCCACTATTCACAGTTCCTGCCTTTCTCCTGGCATTGACGTCAGTCTCTTTCCAATCTTTTTGGGCCATTGAAGCTACAAGACCAAGATGCAACATGCCAAAAGCATCCAAAACCAGAAAAAACATCCGGTGTTTTGCAACCATTGACAGTGATACCAGTATATACCAGTATATACCAGTCACCTTTAAAACAACGAAAAATGACGAAAACATGTGCCGTGACATGTCACGGGCATGGCGAAGTTTTTCGCGGATTCCAAGCGTGGCCTTCGCCGGGACCGGGACCGGGAGCCCACGGAGCCCAGTGATCGGCGACGACGGCTGTCGCCGTTGTCGCCGGTGCATTCCTGCAGCAAACATGAACAAACGATATTCTGTATAGATTATGAACAGATTATGAAGAGGTTATGTATAGATTATGTATATTAGTTACAGATTTTTTATATCTACATTGTATTCAAACAAATTATCCAATAGTTATTTGTAATTGTTGATTGTGTCTGCTTCTATGTTTAAGAAACTGGTTACATAGTGATAGTACTGATTATAACAAAAAAGGTAGGGTAGCAATCTATTGCAAAATGTTTTTTAAATGCATGGTTTTCCTGACATTTCCTGACATCCAATGTTCCTCTGGGTAAAATACCTAGTGCACCCATCATTGTAACCATCTGAGCAAATAATTGGAAGATTGTCTGATCTGACCCTCTGCCTCCTTTACGGCGGCTTTCTGCACCTCAGCATCGCTGATAGGACTTGTGGGTCCCCCTTAACCAATCGAAATCTATGGCGTCATGGCGAAAGATGTGGCAACCTTTCAGAGCAACAAATCAAGGTACCCCATCCCCTTTGGACAAGCCCACCATCATAGTGTTGGTTTATCTACGTATGATATGTACATATATGTATATACATATGTATATATATATATTATATATATTATATTATATATATATTATTGTGTGTAGTATGTATGTATATGCATATGCATATACACCTCCATGATCATGCCACTATTCTCCCACTATTCTCTCACTATTACCCCATTCTTCCATCACCCAAGTTGAGGCAAAACTATACAACTGAGGGGATTATAATCGTTATAGTGTGCAGGCAGTGGGTAAACATACAACCTGGCGCGCAGGGTCAGGGGGCCGCTCTGCAAGCTGTGTGCTAGCAAGAAGGTGAAAAGGGGCAAACTGGACACAGAAGAAAAAGCAAACGTTGAATGGGGGGTGTGACACAAGGAAAAACTCCGATGCAGGGAAGCTGCAAGAGAAAAAAAGGCCAGGGCAGCGCTCATACTCTGAAAGAGCAAGCGGTTGTGGTTGCCATAACACCATTCCACCCATGGTCACAGTGCAGGAAGGTGAAGTCGCACTTCTCGGAGCATTGTTGCCCGGTCAATGGTCTTATCCCCACGCCATTGTTATCCCAATCATAAAAATTGATTATTTTGTCCAATCTTAATATGTATATGTATATATATATATATGTGTGTGTGTGTACAGTACATCAATCCAGTATATCCCCCACCAAAACAACGCGTCCTCGTCCAAGGCACCGGTGGTTGCTGGACCTGGGCCTCTTCCATCAGCGATCGAAGTTCCTCCGCCGCAACGCTCTCGCTCTGCAAATGAGACGCGCCTTTCGGGACAAAAAAGCAACGAAAAGGATCCAAAACGAAGGCCCAAAATGATCCGAAAGGATCCGAAATGGACATGAAAAATGAAAATCATGAAGGCCCGTTGAAGGCCTCTTCACACAACAACCAAGGCAAAATATGCAAAATGCAGATTAGCAGTTCACTAAGCACCGTAGACCACACGTTTTCGAGTCAGGCCTTGCAGTACGCACTGCGATAGCTGCGTGGAGAGTGCAAGAATGTCGATGCCGGCTTCGCTGGCCTACGAGGCAAAGCCATTGCAAACGGCTGGAAAACAGGTGAGTTGGTGCAACTTTGGCATGGAAATAACCATGGAACATAATCTTAAAAACAACATGAAAATGGAAAGAATGCCATGGGTGATGTATTTCTTCTCTTCTCTTCCCACGTCCATCCATATCCCATCCCGAATTCGCAAACCCCAAAAGGACTCCTCATGAGCAATTTCGGCCAGAAGAGGCACGCCACAAACTGCCACGAGGTCTGCGTAGTTTGGGTTGCCTCAGTTTGCATCCCAATGGCATTGACATTTTGATGGCGTCCTCAAGCTGTGCACTCCACGCTTCCACTCCTGTCCCATCTCCCTTCTTGGTTGGTAAGTGGTTCACAACCATATTATAGCCCGAACATAAACAGGATGATATACCCAGAAATATGGAGATTACTGATTACTGATTTCTATCTACCTACTAGCTGGGATGCACATCCAATCATCCAAGTGTGTAAAATACACCATTTATAAAAGAGGACTTTAGGTCATTTTAGATCCATATAGACATATCATATCCATGGATGATTTCCCCATTTATATCAACAGTTGGCTAATCAGTTGCTTTATTTTTCGTGGAACATGGAGATCTGGACGGTTTCCAGGACCCCCCGGAAACGTTTCCGGCCTTGCGCGGCATCCTTCGCGTCTGTCTCCACAGTATGCGTCTCCTGCTTGGTCTTTGCCAGTTGTCGGATCAGAGCCAGGCGCCGTTGCCGGCCCTCGCTGTCACTTCTCTCGCCTTGCCAGCTGCCATGGTGGTGAAAGTGGGAAGAATGGAAAAATATGGAAAAAATGAGACATTATGAAACTGTGAAACCTTTTGAAAACCACTGGAAACCCAACTTTTCTAGATTATCATGAAATATCAAAAGTAACAAAGGAAATCCACAGTGCTCATGTCATGGTCAAAACCCGAATGACCAAAAACCAAAGATGCCACGTGCGGTTATCTGCGGCAAACACTGTTGCAAAATGTTGCAAATATATTATTCTTTATATTTTGCTCTGATCCGCACGGGACACTAATCAAGGAAACTATAAACGCAAAAAAAAATGTCCTGCCTACATCAACACAATGAAACAGCTCCTCCTATTCCCGTCGCATGTCTTCACACCTTGCATGAGACTTCTTTATAGTTTCATGACTGAGTTTGAAGTAGCTTCGATGTGATTATCCACCAAAAAATGATTCAACAAGAAAATAAATATACGCGACTTAATCTCCAAAACACTTATTACAACAAAAACCTCGGACACGCAAAACTAGAAAAACTACAGCACTCAAGGATCTCAAGGTTTCTGATTTTTCTTTGTCGAAGCGTCGTAGTTCGCGATGTTCTTCGTTGAGTTGTTTCTCCTCTTCATGGCGTTGGCGGCACAGCTGCTGCGCCCGTCGCAGGGTCAGCAGCAGCTGCTGCAGTGCCTCTGCTAAAGCGTCGGCCGAGCCGCAGCTGCTGAGCATCCGAACGTCGCGCAACGTGGACGTCAGATCCAAGGCCAAGACGCGTCCTACGTCACAGATCAACACAGATCAACACATCAACACAGCACCATTTCCACAGCAGCCTCAAGCATTGAAATGCAGTGAACAGCTGGATTATCCCTGAGGTTTTCCATGGTGTTTCCTTTTTTCTATGGTTTCTGAAGAAATCATCTATGACTATGATGTATGTTGATTTATGTGGGCCAAAGATGTACCCTTAATGAGGGGCCTTATACTTGGAGTCAAGACTGCTTCGATCTATTACACATATCTTAAACATATATGACACTTATATTAAACATATATGAATCAAACATAATATTTATATGTATATATGTGAAATTATATATACGTGTGTGATTGTGTGTGTATTATCATTGTATTATCACATAATGTTATATTTGACTCGTCCTGCGGTTTGTCGCAGCAGTTGGCTCTGCTCAGCGCGGTGTGTCAGCTCCGCGCGGCGCGTCGCCTGCGCCGCCAGCAGCTCCTCACGCGCAAGGTCCGCCTGCCCGGTGAAGCCGGATGATCTTGGTATGTCAGGAGGCGTTATTTGCTTCATTTAATATTCATCCAGCGGTGTAACAAGTCAAGTTATGTCAAGTTATGTCAAGTTATATCAAGTTTATGGTTCAATGTCAACTCTTAAACATTATCTTACATAATTTATCTATTAGTTATAACTATAAATGTGCTAATATATCATCATATATCATAATAGATCTATAATTATCTATATATAGAAAATCATATTATCTATGTTAATCATCTTTAAATCATCACATCCGTGGAAAAGCGCTTCGCCTTCAGTGCCGCACGCAGTTCTTCCAAGCGCCGCAGCTTGGCATCAGCGGACTCGGTGCACCTCGGCCCGTGGATTGTGGGTGTCCTATGGGAAACCAACAGGAGGTCCTGCAGATGTAGGGAAAACCATGGGAAAACCATGGGGAAAACCACCAGTTTTGGCGGAAAATGGATGAAAATGGATGAATCCATACAGAATTTTCCTTGTGTCTTGATCTGTTTTGATGGCGATTTAAGTGATTTACTCTTGCAGGGATTGCTTAAGATCCCGTTGATTCCCGTGAAGTGAGTGAAGTGAGTGAAGTGAGGCTGGAATCATCTTGAACCCTTGGTGACCTTTTAGCTGGCATCATCATTGAGGAATGTGAGCTACGAAATTATATCATCAAAATTAGGGAAGAGTGATGGAAGTGTTCACCAAGATCCCGCATAAGATACAAGAATTCAAGAACATCCGTTTGTCTCCGGCCTCAGTGAGCACAAAAAAGAAACTGGACAAGCATCATCTTAGAATGTAGGTGTGTGACTCTCAGGACAAGGTTCCTGATGCACTTCAGTCGTTCCGACCACTGTCGCAATTTCTCCAGCTGCTCTGTAGCAGGTTCTTCGGCGGGTGCCGTTTTGTGAGCCGCTGTCAGGGCGTTGGGCGCAACCTACCAAGGACAAAACCGCCTAAAAAGGAATCAGAAGGGCAAAATGTTGTCACGAAAAAAACCTGACATGAGATGACCGCATTTCTTGATGCAAATGGGAAAGCTTACAAACTGACACTGATTATACGGCAAAAGTTATCTGCCTATCGCATTGACTATTAACTTGATGACATATCATATTAATTTGCATTACCGAGTTTTCGTACTCCACTATCAGCACCTCAATTCCCATCCGGACTGGCAAGTATTCCTCCACGCACCTCACCATCTGCATCGTCCGGTTCCTCCTTCAAAACACTGGTTTTTCCAAGATCCACCGCGTCGGGCATGCCTTCATGGGAAAGAAATACCAGCCATCACCAGCTACCACCAGCTGCTAACCAGCTGTTAAGCATTGTTAAGCATTGTTAAGCAGTCAGTAGCCTATCGAGCCATCAGACCCGCATCCTTCACCTGGCGGAAACCAAGCAGTGGCACTGGAACCGGCACCGGCAGTGCTGGAAACGGCAGCGGCAACGGCAGCGGCAAGCACAGCGGCAAGGACAGCGGTGGGGACAGCGGCGGGAGCTTCTGGCCATGAGCAGATTTTGAAAATGCCACAGGCTTCGCGTCTGCCTTGCGCCATCCAGGAATCGGCTTAAGGCTGCGTAAGGCTTCGCTTTAGGGAAACAAATAAAACCAGAAGGAAAAAATTCCAAGCCTGGGGCAAACAATTAAAAGTGCATTTCAACTTTAAGTTTGAAAGGACTTGAGAATTGTAGCTTTTGATTGAGTTTCTCGTTCGGGGAGGGAAATTCGACGGTCGCACCGAAAAATTGCATCAAAAACATGTCGGCAAACCTTTCCTTTTCATATCTTTAGACAATTTGTAGACATCTGAATGAAAATCTAAAGATCTCAGCTGGAGAATCCACTAGGCCTTGGCTTCACCTGGCACGCCCAGCTTCGCAACTGCTGGGCCCGGTGGTGGCACGACCACCGGAACGGGCACCACGAAGGGTGGCCGAAAATCCGGGCGGCCGGGCCATGGCACCAGTGGAAGCGGCCTCGGTGGTGATGATCAGCAGCAGCATTGACAATTCTTCCTACTTTTAATATTGGGTATTATCAATAGTAATGTCAATCATATTAATGAATTACCTACATTGCATTAATATTAGGTATTGTAGGTAATCTCATTGGTGCATCTTATTGACCTACATTGTTGTGATGGTGATGGTTGCCATCGTGATGAGGGTAATGATCAATTAGTAGTGATTTTGTGGTGAGGATAATGGTGGTGCCGCACTAATTGAATGTGATGGGAACATCACGACGCGCAAGAAATCCAGCTGAGACTCTGAGTGACGGGCGGTTTTGACTTTGACATGGTCTGTGCCAAGCCATCTCTCACCATGGCTGCTCAGAGACATTTCCCAAAGCCCGTAGTCTTCCTCGATGATCTTGTGAGGTCAAGAGAAGGAGAGATGGGAGAGTGCGAAAAATATTGAAGTGCCGCATCCAAATATTTGGCCAACTTACTCTTTGAATAGTCTTGAAGTTCGGGCTTTTGTTTCAGGTCGTACAGCACTCTCTCCCTCATTCTTTGCTATTAAGCTAGATGAGATAGAAGGAAGCTGGTTGGAAAATGGCACAGGCCCCTTGACCCAGGTATTTTGTTCCACTCATTTGTTTCCTTCTTCCATCGTCCTCTGATACAGAACTGTGACTTGATATGTGGTGCATTCGCAGGCATCTCCTAGGTAGGCTCGATTTTTGTTGCAAGCTTTCCTGAGACTTGCCGTCCCTTTTATTGTCCAATGTCACATTGGTGCTCTGGGCTTTGGCTTTTCTGACCTGTTTTGGTATGGAGCCTGACGGGTGGGCACTTGTCATGCGCAACGATCTTCAAAATGGACAAGAAAGACATGCGAAACAAATGGTTTCCTGCAATGGTTTCAATGTTGAGCCATACATCCTGGACATCCTGGTGAACAAATTCCCTGCTGAATGCTTTGAGGAAAATTCGGACTCGTTCGGACTCGTTCGGACATATTCTTTTTTCGCGTTCTTTGCCTTCAGCGGTCGCGGACGGTCTCGGGTGTTCCGACTCGCCCGGGCTCGGCTCGGCTGGGCCCAGTCCGTGCGGACCGAGGCCAAAGTGGTGAAATTCAGCGCTTTTTTTTTGGGACGTTTTTCTTGGGATGTCGGTGGAAACGTGTGGAAACGTGTGGAAACCTACCGAAATCACGGAAATCATGGATTTAGTCGGCCACAATATGAGCCTTTCCCGTAAATGTCCACAGCTAATCTAATGAAACCTAATGAATAATATTGGACATGCCTAGGGCTAAGGATGATCATCAAATTCAGGATGTCAAGGCCTCGCATGGCAATGATTGCGATTGCAAGTTGCAATGCCAAAAACTACGTACGAACGTCGAATGATCCATGCCCAAAATGGACCAACACAAATGAAGACAAAAAGTCGCGACGTAAAAGGCACATGGGTTCATCCAAAAATGTTGGGAACTTCCATCATTTTCATTGCGAAAAAAACTGCAGTCCGTCCCATCCATTTTTCGAGAAACCCATCTGAAGCTATTGAGGCATCCGCCAAAGCTCCTGTGGGGAGGGTGTGCTTCGCCAGTCCTGCGGTAGAAGGCACACCCGCTGAATGATCAAGTGAATCAAGTGTCCAAAAGTGGGGTACCCCATGCTACCCAAAAAAATCCGCCAGTGACTCATCATATGCCCTACCAAAATTGCCAGCTGAAAACATGATGGTCAAGACTTCTGGCATATGAATCATACGTATGAATGTCTGGTAAATTTGTGGGAATCAAATCAGGAAACCTCTAGACTCTAGAAAAACATTAGGGTGAAATGGGTCTGGGTCAAACGTGTTTGGACTTGTTTGGACCCACTGAAACCCACACAGGAACTTACTTTGGGGTGGCAATTTTTGACCGATGCCAAAATGAATTTCAGGAAACGATGCGTCAAAGTGGCTCACGCTGACTTAAAATGGCTGTCATGTTTTGTTCAAACAATGTGCGTTTTCAGGAAACGTCCCAAAATATCAGTCACAAGTCATAGGTCATAGGTGTCATAAGCTCAGCAGGTAATGGAATATGATAATTTTGAGGCACACTTTTAGAACATGTTGCGTTTGGTGGTCAGAAGAAAACAACTCACCCCGCTTTTGTGTGAACCTCTCCAGTGCATCTGAAACTGATGGAGATGATGCAGTTAAAGCTCTGAGATTGCAGGTGTCATCCAATGTTTTCCGTTGCAACTGGTCAGTATTGGTCAGTCACTGCACGTCTTCCTTCGCACTTTGTTGATTAAATGTTCCGTGTACAGACTGATATCTATCTTAACCTTAACATATAACAACACATCTATGCTATATACATATAAAATCACACACAGACACACACATACACACACACATATATATATATATCTGTGTGAGTGTGTGTGTGTGTGTACATCCAAGATCTGGAACAGTCACGGCCGTCTCCCGTCCGTCAGCAGCATTTGAATGAGCTCCGCTGCTACCTCTGCAGCGACCACCTGCGCTTCCTCTGAATCCATGACCTTAAGGAAACAACGCGGAAAGCGGAGGAAGTGATACATAACTTATAGAATTATAAGTAGATTAGTTACAATAGCCATTGGCCATAAGGCCACAAGTGATATATCCCAAATTTATTCGTTAGGTTAAGAGTCTTAAGAGGAACAAAAATGGTTTGATGTCTTGTCGCCATCCAGTGAGATGCCAATATTTGTCGCAAATCGTTTATCCGTCGGAATCCATTGGATAATTGCTTCATCATCACTTCCCTAAAACCCACTGGTCATCGTGTCTGTTCTGTCATGTTTACTCTGAAAAATGCCATGTGGGTGCCTATACTGGCATATCGATACTCCATTTTCAGACACAGGAGGGTCTAGCTGAATGCTGGATGGCGCTGACTGATTTTATGCCGAGGTCTGCGGGATTTGTGGCTGATCTTGGATGCCAAGCTGAAGAGTCAAGTTTCCGTGTAGCTGGGCTATGTGTTTCTCAACAACTGAAAAGAGCAGAAGCTGTTCATCCTACTCACTCCGCATACTCCGCATGTGTTTTGGAGATACCCTTGCAGCGCAGATAATCGCAAGGCATGACAGCTCAACTCGGCTAAACTCCGGACAATTCCCTTCACACCCGCCGCTTCCGCAGACAGCACCGTGTCCGCAGACTGGGCCCTGGCGTGGCACGAGTGGCACGAGTGGCACGAGTGGCGCGAGTGGCACGAGTGGCACGAGTTCATCAAATATGGCCCTGCTGCGCCCAGTTCAGCCCTTGCGCCTATTACCGGCATCCGTTCCACCTGAAGCTGCTCACGGGGAAGGAAAAAGCAACAAACGGGTCACACGTGTCTCCAATTTAGATGCACCTTTTCGAACCTGCTTTCTCAACTTTCATGTTCTGTGCTGTTCAACTGCGCCTTGCACGACTGCTGGGCAAGTAGAAGGCCGTTCTCCCCTGGCGTTCAAGGCATATCTCATGCATATCTCAAGATCCTTCATTGGATTGTGGCTTTCAGAAGAGCTTCAAGACTCAAGTGGACCTTTGAAAATCAACCTAACATCCAAAAGTGCCAATTCATGCCCAAGAAGTGTGAATGGCCTTGCTTCGGCCATCATCCTTCGAGCTAGCTAGCCGCTAGCCAAATCAAACCCTTCACACCATGTTTAACTGTTTAACTGCATCACCACGCTTTGAATCAGCCCCAAAATTGGATTTGGACAGCCAATATTGGGATGAGTCTTGCAGCAAAATCAGGAGTTGCTAGAGGACAGCTAGGATTGTGGAAACGGTTTGCAACCGAAAAGAAACACCTGCAAAATGCCACAAAGCAATGACAAAGCAATTGCGAAGCGGTGCCACTTACAGACCTTACAGCAACACGCACAAAATCAAGTCCTCTGAAGAACCGGTGTTACTGATTGGCAGGCCTTGGGAAGTTGGAAAAAGATGAATCTGCCCAGTGGACACGACACGACATGTCACACGGATCAATGTTTTCTCATGTTTTCTCTCCTGGGCTCTTGACTCGTTCAGCGACCTCATCCGCCAAGGAAGCCGAAAGGTCTCGAACGACATTTCCACGCAATGCCTTCGAACCAGGGGTGAGCCTATGTCACACCGTCTCCAGATGCTGGAGTCATTCTTGGACCAACACCATGGCGTGTTCCCGTGCCTGTGGGATTGCGACCTCAGAATTTGGTTGGGGCTCTGGTGAGATAATTCCCCAGAAGCCATACCAGCACATTTAGTGGGATACATCGGATAAAGGAAAATACCGTTCTACAAAATCAGAGATAGATGACATGCACATGGCACGGCGTGTCACATCGCTGAATTCCGGACAACTCGTTTCACGCCCCCGGCTTCCGCTGAACCCCTGGCAGAAAAACCATCACATGCATCCATGATGTCTTCGTGCAGTCGCTTAAATAGAAAACCATGATAAACCATGATATACAAATCACGACGAATCCATGTGGTAGAAGCCGTGACTGAATCTGCACCAAGCTTTCTGGAAACTCAGAGGTTTTGTTTGACCAGAGCCACTCCAAGAGTTAGTAGCTTTGGGTAACGAAGACAAATCTGACAGGGTTGTAACCAGATCTTTACAAACTGTGCTCTACAGGACTCTACAGGTCTGGAGTTTGCAGCCGGTTACAGTTACAGCATGTCAAAATGGTCAAAGCTATCAGCTCAGCGCTGCGCCTGTCCCCAGGAGCTGGTCCACCTGTGTCAAGAAATTCCAAGCATACTGTGCTTTTTTGGGGATGCTTCAGGAGTGACCTGTTGAAGTTGAAACTTGCCGTAAACTGACCTTTGCATGAGATCTTTAGATGCAAAATGCTCCTCTGAAAATCTAGCGGATATTCGGTGTATTTCACTGTCATGTCTCTTTTCAACAGCGCCTTGCACGACTGCTGGGCAAGTAGAAGGCCGTTCTCCCCTGGCGTTCAAGGCATATCTCATGCATATCTCAAGATCCTTCATTGGATTGTGGCTTTCAGAAGAGCTTCAAGACTCAAGTGGACCTTTGAAAATCAACCTAACATCCAAAAGTGCCAATTCATGCTCAAGAAGTGTGAATGGCCTTGCTTCGGCCATCATCCTTCGAGCTAGCTAGCCGCTAGCCAAATCAAACCCTTCACACCATGTTTAACTGTTTAACTGCATCACCACGCTTTGAATCAGCCCCAAAATTGGATTTGGACAGCCAATATTGGGATGAGTCTTGCAGCAAAATCAGGAGTTGCTAGAGGACAGCTAGGATTGTGGAAACGGTTTGCAACCGAAAAGAAACACCTGCAAAATGCCACAAAGCAATGACAAAGCAATTGCGAAGCGGTGCCACTTACAGACCTTACAGCAACACGCACAAAATCAAGTCCTCTGAAGAACCGGTGTTACTGATTGGCAGGCCTTGGGAAGTTGGAAAAAGATGAATCTGCCCAGTGGACACGACACGACATGTCACACGGATCAATGTTTTCTCATGTTTTCTCTCCTGGGCTCTTGACTCGTTCAGCGACCTCATCCGCCAAGGAAGCCGAAAGGTCTCGAACGACATTTCCACGCAATGCCTTCGAACCAGGGACAAGTTGTCATATTTGAAAAGCTGTGATCTGGATGTCGGGCCTCGCGTCGTATTTGGACCTCGGTCACAGGAAGAACCTTTGATCATCTTTGATCGCTGATTTAGGTTGGGATTTGCGGTATCAACACGGTTCGGCAGAAACAATAAACAGAAACTACACAACCACCAAATCCGATGCATCCAGAGAACATACAACCTACGTACAACCCACGTAGCCACCCTATGTCACTTCACTTTCACCTGCAGGTGAGCGACTTCCTTGCGCAGTGAGTCGCTCAGGTTTCCAACTTTCTCGCGCACTTCCTGTGCATCAACTTTCATCAACACTCGCAGCATTCCGAGAATCAAAACATACCAAAAAAAAAACGTGGCCCGGCCCAAACCCGATTTTTGATATCTGAACAGGTGGTGCTTCTCTTATAAGTTCTAGCCGCTTAGCCGAGCACACCTGAAAGCGTTCCTCCATTGTCTGGTGTTGCTCCTGCACATCCGAAACAATCCCTAAATGAAACTCATAGACGAACAAAGATGAGCATGATTTTGCATGATGCATCATATGATGCGCACTCACTCCCCACATCTCCCCATCTGTGCCGAGCAGGTTTGCTGCCGCATAGCCAAGCAATGCCAAGCTACTAGCAACACTGAAACTTGACCGCTTCAATCGGAAAGCAATGGTCCGATTCGTGAGTCAGACCTGGTACGAGTACAAACGTTCAAACAAATATTGATAGGCCCAGGTGGGTGTAGGATTTCATGTACCGACTTGTTCATCATTGGATTCAAACAGTTGCAGCTTTGGGTTCACCCCATTGGACAACAAGGGTCTCACGCTCAGGGGATGCGTTCCGCTCCTGGTATTGTTCTAGCGCCAAGCTGTGCTCCTGCATCAAGGCCTGCAATGCAAGGAATGGGCGGTCTGCCCCAGTGTCGTTTTGGCCCATCGCTTGATGCGGCAGAAATAGAAGAGAAAAGATTCAAAACAAAAGGCTTGAAACACAAATCCTATACGGTATACTTTATGACATCCTGAGGTCCTGGGTCAAGCGAGCACATTTCGCCACCGAAAACGCTCAACTCTTTTTGGATTGCTAGCCCACTCGGGATCTGGCAACCGCCCGAGTAAGCTAGCATTGTGAACATGTAGAAGGACTCAACCACCAACATCGAACCACTGCATTCTGTCCTCGAAACGTTGGTTCAGCTGTCCATGATGCTCCTTCATACCACATATCATGGAAGCATCGGAGGCTTGTCTTGGGCATATGCTGCTGCAACACATCTGACAATTTCAGACTGTCCTGAAAGCGTCCTTCCAAGATACGGCTGTGCTCCTCAAAGGCTGCACGGCAAATTCGAAGAAACCTTTGGAGTTTTGAGTATTGAGGAATCAGCGCCACCCAAGGTGGATTTTTGGCAAAGCGTTGCCATGTTAAATCATGTGAAATCTTTGGGGCTCATTTTTCATAAGAAATTCTTTTCAAACCCCCTGAGGCGCACATCCTGAACCTACTGAAATACTTTAAAGATCTTTAAAGGGTATGGCTGAGCAAATGTCAGAATGTTCTGCGACTGGCACGAACCAAAGGCCCTCATCAATTTACTTAGAGACTTAGTGGGGCCGCAATGTAGCACATGATTTTTGTAGCAAGGAGACTTGTGACTGCTATCTCGCCGCTGGGATAATCCGTAAAAGCACTGCACTGAATCACAGAATCACTGCATCCTGTCCTCCAAGCGTTGGTTCAACAGTCCATGGTGCTCCTTCAGCAAGATATTCAAACTTAAGAGTAGCACAATCTACGTCTGGCCCCAGGCATTTCAACATGTAGAATCACTGAATCATCGAATGACATCGAATGACATCGAATGACATCGAATGACATCGAATGACTGCATTCTGCATTCTGTCCTCGAAACGTTGGTTCATACCACATACCAGTAGTACCGCACAAGGCGGTGGCGGAAGTTTCAAAAATAGGAAACCTATAGGAGAAGTTGGTGGTTGTGAATCAGGGATGGCAGAGCGAAGCCACTGATGGAGCGAAAGGTGATTGATCCCTCTCACTATTTCTCTCTCTTTCTCTGACTACCTACCTACCTACCTATCTATCTATCTATCGATCTATCTCTCTCTCTCTTTCATCTGTCTATCTGTCTAGCTGTCTACCTGTCTATCTGTCTATCTAACTTATCTATCTATCTATCTGTTTGTCTGTCTGTCTATCTGTCTACCTGTCTATCTATGGTGCAGTGTCATT